CACTTCTTTCGGTTGCTCCCAAAAGTCCTCGTGTATTTGGCACCGGTTGGCGGCTGCATGCGGCGCCATAAGCCGTGCCCCGTCGGTCCAAGTGTCGCGTCGAGTGTTGCGATTGCTGGAACTGCTGCTGCTGGCGCTGCTGGCGGAGAGATCGCACAACGTCAAAAAATGCTTTCTCGACATTGATGCAATTTTTGGCGGACGCCTCAACGAATTCGCAACCCAATTCCCGTGCCAATGCGAATCCCTCCTGCGACGAGACGGCGCGTTCGACCGCTTTGTCGCATTTGTTGCCAACGAGCATGACGGGAACGGGCGCGGGAGGGCCTGAATTAGCACCATTTATCTGAGCAGACAGGTATCCAGCGCCAGTTGGCGAACCGGAACTTGCGGATTCTTTCACTAATTGGATCTGGTTGTAGAATTTCTGTATGCTGCTGAACGAGCTCCTGGAAGTAATGCTGTAGACCAAGACGAAGCCTTCGCCATCCCGAATCCACTGATCGCGCAATGAAGTGTATTCCTCTTGGCCCGCAGTGTCCAATACTTCGAGCATACAGAGTTGCTGGTCAATGACGACCTGCTTTCGATACGAATCTTCGATGGTGGGATCATAGGTTTCAACGAAGTGATTCAAGCACAACTATTCTGGGGGTTAGGCAAGATGAGCGCGATGGAAGCTGGCGGGTGCTAACCTGGATTGTAAGCGCAGTTTTCCCGACACCACCTTCACCCAGCACCACCAACTTGTATAGCTTCATTTTGCCTGTCATGATTGCAACGCGCTTTTACACACCGCTGCGCGACAGGGATGATAAGGGCCTAAAGAGTTGGAATGGGTTATATCGGACACTGCAACGAATGACAAGGCAGACCGCGCAGCTGAGAGCGTCTCAAAGTAGATTTGAACGACGGTGTATCCAGAGCGGGGTTTTGTGGGATGAGAAATGATCGGTCTGTTTCAAGGCCGTGTTAGATTGTTATCATCAAAACAAGAAGTATCAAACACGGAAGAAAAGAGTGAGTATATATATATATATATAGGCTGTAAAAACATGTGACAGTAAAAGGAGTCGTCCATTGCGGTTGCGGCGTTGAGACGCCATCTGGGGGAGAGCCGCAAAGGCACCGGGTTGGTTGACATCAATCGAGTCCAGAGGGGAGACTGGCGATAGCAAACAACACGGGCCAGAAGGGTGCATCTGCTGATTGATGGGGGAGAGAGGATCAGAGCAAACGGCAGAGAACTTACCCTCGGTGCCAACAGTGGACGAAGCGTCGAGATGTTACACACAATGGGGAGGATTTCACCACTCCAAAAGACAACGGCACTCCTTGAAGAGCGTAGCGAGTCGACAGGCAAAAGAGAGAATACGCAGGGAATGAGAGGTGTTGGGAATGAGTCAACAGAGGCAGTGTGCGAGAGAGAGAGAGAGAGAGAGGGAGTGAGAGAGGAGCTGCGTTCTGAGGCGGAGGACGGCGGCCGGGGAGGCGTTGAGCAGGCGGCTTGCTTTCCCCTTCAGTGGCTGATGGAACCACACGTGAGAGCGCAAGACAGCAACAAGACAACACCCGGTGGCGAACCACTGCAGCGATCAATTAGAAAGGGATCTTTCGCCTGCCCCGAATCTGCACTGGACAGAGAGAGAGAGAGAGAGAGAGAAGAGCAGAGATGGCCCAGAGAAGGGGATGCCTGCTGGTTGGCGAGCAGTTTATTTGGGCCTGTTGGCCTCCCAAGATAACAAATTGCAGTTTGGGCCAGGACAGAGGGAGAACAGCCACCGCGTGGGATAAAAACATACCAGAACTCGCTACGGAAGAATCTCTAGGAGGGGCCCAGTGCTGCTTGCCCGAATGTTTGTTCCCGCGTCTGAACCGCCGCGGACGATGAGGATGTTATCGGCCTCTGTGGACTGCACAACCACGTGGGCCTAGCTTTGTTCAGCAAGAAATGGATATTCGTCCAGTGCTGGCTCTGCTTCTTGGGGGAGAGGTGAAACTAGTAATTGCTTTTTTGCTGCTTGAAATCGAACGAGATCGACATCATGACACCAACGACTTGTTCTGAGATGGGAGAGACAGAGAGGAAATAATGGGAAGAGAGGGGAAAGCGAGGGAAGAAAAAAAAATAATAATAAGAATAATCAGCAAATCCCAGCAGTCCTACCAGCGGCCATGCTAATAAATCTCACAATTGCTCGCAGTTACTCCGGCGTAGTAATGAACTGTACGGGGAGCGTATGCACACAAACACCACTTGTATAAAGGATGCTCCACCGGCCGGCGTGCGGCACCCGAATGGATCTTTTCTCAGATGCTTTTCCGGAGCCTGGACGGTGGGAGGGAGGGGGCCAGGATCCGGCTCGAAGCTAAGCGCAACATGTGGGAGCAGAAAGGGGTTTGACAGTGCTGTGCTGCCGGCTCCAATTGGCCCTGGCGGAGGGATAATTTCTCTGACCAGCGGGAAGCGAGTCCCTAGCCAAAACCTTCACGCCTGGCGCTGGAGCAGAATTGTGGATTTCACGGGCTCTCCCCTAGCCTCTTTGGGTCTCTGCTCGACTTCCGAGGCCAGATGGTTTCAGGGAGAAGCCGGGCGCACCCAAGATGAATCCTGATGGGGAGGTGCAGGACCGGAGCATGGTGATACTGCCAGTCTCTCTACAGATGCATACGATTGCTTGCGGGCTGCAGGGGATGTTGGGCTGCCGGTTGAGCCACAGCGAAGCTGCTGTTTGTTCGTGTGCTTGAGTCCTCGACATTTCGACACACGAGCGAGAAAGCCGAGAGTTTCCCTTTGCTGCTTTCCCGTTCCATACAAGCGCCAGTATTGGCTTGTTCCAGAACCCGTTGGGGAAAAAGCGTGTTAGTCATAATGGTGGGCTTGATGATTGGTCAAGGAGGCCACCCTCCGCGTTATTTAAACCAATCACATAATTCAGCCATGCTACATTTTCCGCCTGGGAGCCAATAGGAATGCTACCATTTGCATTGGCGGAATGGTTCCATATGGTACGTTTATGTAAGCTCTCGCTCCCCCATCACCGTCGTTGCGCTGCTCCATGCAACAAGATGTTAATGAATATCATGCAATGCAATGCATGGCCGAATCACCCAGGGCACGCCTGCCAAGGCATTGGAGATCGTGCGCTGAGGCGAGAACTTGGGCCCTGGGCCTTGCCGACCTCACGACCGTGGGGAGGCTCAATCCTCTCCCAGGCCATGGGCCGTTGGAATCGGCCAATGCCAGACCACCAGACGCAAGCACCCATGCCGATGCGCTTGTTTGCTGGTAACTTTCTGGGGTAAAACCGGACCGGTGAGGTCTGCCATCGTGTTGGGCAACGACCAACGCAGCCCCGTGCGATAATCCGGATGAGAGTTGATATAAACGAAGAGGCGAGTGATCGAAAAGCATAATCTGGGGTAGATGTTGCCCTTCAGTCTATATACTTCATCACTAATTAGCTGAATACAGGGTCTCAACATGCACAGTTTCGGCTACCAGCCCAACGACACACCACGACAGACGGATGTTGCTCGTCGTTGACATTTTCCCCGCAGTGGCGATATCCCAATGTATGTTTGAGCTTGGGCCAATCAGCCCAGCAACAACCCACGTTGCATATGATTACGCTCCTGTGCAATCTTCGCTTTGCCAATACAGCTGCCAGCCTGCCAGGGGCCGGTTATTTTGTGGAACGCCAGTACTCAAGAAGCCTCCTCAGCCAAGCTGTGTCGCCCTGGAGCCTAGAGCCCAGAGGGTTTTCTCAATCGAGCATCGCACCTCCATCTTCCACGATCATCTGCAGAAAAGCTAGAAAGAAATGTCGATCATGCTTAAAATTAGTTTCGGCCTGGGGATTCCTTTCCCCACCGTCAAAAATATACCCACCCCATTGATCCTCGCGGACACCAACCCCGGGGATTTGGTTAAAAGCAAATTTTCCTTCGCCGGCACTCAATCTTAAGCTTTTGCTTCCCCCTCTCTATCAATTTCTCTCGAATCTTAAAGGACGTGAAAAATCTTGGTTTTGATATTCGCAAGATTTTTTCCCTTCCAAACATTGCAGCTGGCAACGTGTACCCGTACCTGCAGGGTGGCAGCAGCCTAAAAAGTCTCTTTTTTTCAAATGGGATCCCTGATATGCCATGCAGATCGTATAGGAATTCGGACCAGTCGTGACTGCTCCCCTGCTGGGGGAACACTCGCATCCACACACATTTGTTACAGATCTGTGAAGGCACCGAATCACACCACCTATGCCACACTCGAATATCGGTACCGAGTGCCACCAGGCTGCTTGGTGATAAGTACTGTCATTATTGCGGGTGAAAGTGTCAGTAATTTGGCTCCAGCACACTTGCGCCACATTCACTTATTATTCATTATATCAGATTTGACGCTTGGAAGAGTGGTATTCGATCAGCCTGGGGGGTGAATCCATGGGCAAAAGGGGAACAATCTCTTATCTGATTTCGCATCTATGCCAACCATGTTCACAGCACAGGTAGGATACAAAGGTATGGGACAGAGCTCGAAGAGTTGCCTGCATGGACCAGGTTTCTAGGAGTACGTGTTCTGCCGCATGTGGCTTAGGGGCCCTGCAACACAGCATCTGTGGGCACGCACGAGAAAAAAAAAATAACATGGCGTTTTTCGACCCAACAAGCCATGTGGGAAAAGAAGCATTCCCCAACTCCGCAGTGGACGGCCATTCCTTTTGAAAAATGGGGGCCGTTTCTACAAATTCAGTTTTTTGGGTTGCCCATTCTCATCCTTCCCCCCACTGGCTTTGACGATAAGGTTAACTCTCGATTCGTCAGTCCTATCCCTGCAAATATTTGCGCACCATATGGAAGATTCTCTGCGTGAAGTCGCCTCTCCCACAGTGTGCATCTACACCGCATGCTCTTCGTTCATCTCGCATGGCGCGCGCAGGACAAATCCTCTCGATATTTTCAGTCAATGCAACCCGGTGGAGCAATATCATCACGCGCTCTTGTCGCCGCACAAAGGGTAAGCGACAAGAGACCATCAGCTCTCCCATGATTGCTGTCCCCAAGCAACCGCGACTCGGCGAAAACGTTGACTGGTGCTCCAGTCCGCGGTCAGCAGTGGATCCGCCGTTTATCTACCCGTCGTGTGCTGCACAAGCTAATGCAACCTTGGAAGGTACAGTGCAGATCACCACTCGGCAGCGTCCTGTCGTCTCATCAGTATTGGTTGGTCTGAACAGAACTTTTCTCGAGGTCGCAGTGACTTCCTCTGCTTGGGGCTGGATCCGACTTCTTCCTCTGAATCCGGCTGATGGTGGATAAACTGGAATAGCATATGTAAGCGCAGAGTTCTGTATTGCTGCGCACGCCGGAGAATAAGACGCTTAGACAGCAAGGGAGAAAATGTCAGCCTTTTTCGCTGGTTGTCACCAAAGTCAAGCCATAGAGGAAGTTTGTTCGCGGGAAAAAGAAAAAAAAAAATCTTTTTCTTTCTCCTCGTTGCTTTTCAAACCCTTGTCCCTTGACTCCTCCTCTGCTTCAATCGTCAAAAGCTTCTCAGTGTGATGTGAACGGCGTGTAATTCTCCGGCTCTCCGCACAACAAGAGTCCCGTTCTCTTGTGCCGCATGTGCATTCAGGTCTTTTCTATGCCACGAATCGGACCTCAAAGTTGGCCGGATGGTATGTCCGTGTGGTGTTTCACCAACTTTTGCACTGGGATCTAATTTGTCTCTCCGTCTCCCGGCGGGAGAAACGGTACCTGGATGGTCCTCCAAGATACTTGGGAATAAATAGCTCCGGTGGGCAAGAATCATGTTCTCTCCTTCGTACTGACAGCCTTGTTCCCCTTTCTGACGGTCTCCTGGGATAGCCGCAGCTATCCTCACTTTGGAGAGCGGTTTGGCGAAACTTCTTTTTGGCGTGAAGCTCGTTTTGACTCCCCCTCTGGTCGATTTCCACGGGAAGTACGCGGTACATGCTCTATAGGTTTGGGATAGAGCACTGAAGTTCCTAAAGAGGGTAATCCTGATGGAGAGAAGGCTTCAGTTGGCGAGCCGTGTTTTTTTTTTTCTCGAAGGTTTGGCCTTTTCTCTCAGTTGAACTATTCGCCGAATTCTCCTCTCCGAAAGATCTGCTCAGCGATCGTCAATCTAGGACCTTGAATCGACCGTTCCATGGGTATCATCTTCGTATACGGTACGCTAGAATCTTCGACGCTGACGATCGCGATAGAGAGGGGATCAAAGCGCCCACAAGGCCCGACTTGTGGGGTTCTCCCATCGATGCTATCATGATATGAGAGCTCGAGAAGCGATGTATGATGTTGTCCTTTTCTAAAACATTGGGCAATTTCTATGATCACTCATGTCCCGCCCCCTCAACCTTAATCTCTTGAGAATGCTTTTCTTTCCTGAAAACAAGTCCTTGGGAAAACGCTGTTCTCCTTCAACCTTGCCGTTGAAGTGATTACTCTCTTGCCGAAGATCTTGCCTTTTCCACTACTAGGTTAGGTGGCTGATCTATTTTTCGAGGATATATTACGTCTTCCTGGGCAGATATATGGTGAATGCACAAAGTATATCTCCTAAGCCAAGGAAGAGTTTCTCGTTTGGATTTCACGTCCCTTCCCCCTAAAAACGTTAAAATTCGTCGAGTACGAAGTGATAGGAAGTGGATAGATGGCCATTCAAGCGTTTGGATACCATCTGGTGACTATGCCGCAAATTGCAGAATTGAATGTGCGCCACTCTTGCTAGACAGGTAAAGCCTGGGTGGGATCTGTCTACACCTTTGTTATGAGGTGTAGGTATCTGATTATGGTGAACTATGAAAGCACCGTGGAGATGATTTACCCGATTCCTTTTTTCCCGAAAAGGCCAAGAACTTTCTCCGCATCCCGCATTTTGAAATGCTTGTTGTCGTTTCGGAAAGAACTCTCCTTAATCCTCGCTGTCTCGCTTTGATACAGCCGTCTGAACAGACACGCGTCGACACAAAGCGAGTGAATATTTGCGGGTCGTGACGAATTATCCCCCGGACTGGAATTGCACGTTTGTCGGGTATTTGCTTTTGCGATCGGTTATCCAAATGGATAAATCTTGCTCAAGCTCGCCTGGCTGAGCAAAAAAAAAACATACAACAGCCGGGATTCGCTGGTGGTCACCCACCCAACTACTAGCCGGCCGGCAAGTGGCTTGAGTACGGCTGAGCGGACGGGAAGCCCTATTTTCCACTTCCTGTGGTCGTATGTGCTTGATCCTCACTTGTATGGGTAGTTGTATCCATTGGTGTCTAGCTCTGCATGAGCAAAAGTGAGGAAAACCAAAAAACATACAACAGCTGGGATTCGCTGGTGGTCACCCACCCAACTACTAGCCGGCCGGCAAGTGGTTTAAGTACGGCTGAGCGGACGGGAAGCCCTGTTTTCCACTTCCTATGGTCGTATGTGCTTGTGTTGATGGCTAAGTATAATCATCAGATTGTGCCCTCAACATCGGCGGAGGTGAACACGAACTCAGTCTGGGTCGAGATCCTCCCCGTCAGTAAGCTGGAAAGTTCACAAAGAGCCAGCTGATTTAAGATATCAAGAAATGTTCACCCAACGTCATGGAAGAGAGGAGAATGCCTGCAAGTAAAGGCAATCTTTGCCTGCAATCTCAAGTAACGCTTGTCTAGCTTGATAATAGCGCCAAAGAGATACTGTAAAGATGGTGAGGCAGCAAGAAGGAGCCCACGGAGTCTTGACTTGAGGCCCTATGGCACTTGGTACTTTTTGCGTCGAGAAGCAGCGGTGGAGGCACTGGGAACACTCTGCCACCAAGCGTAGCAAAGGCGGTCAATACAATAAGTTAGCGAATGAGAGCTCAACGCGTTGGAACCCTCGAAATAAGATTGTCCTCGGAAGCAATCAATATGAAGAAGATGACAAAGTCGAATAGCAAAGGCATTTTTTGCTTATTGACCCCGTACAAAGCACGGATCGGAAGCTCCCAAGTCTTTTTCTGCCGAGAATTTCTCACAGATCACCAACATTGCTCTGCTGTCAACTCTTTTCATAGTTGGAATGAAATGCTACTCCCATGTTAGTGGTAGCTCTGAGCTTTGCAATGGATGACTGACTATAACATGCTGCAAGCACTTGTGCGGAGATACTCTCATCATCTATATTACTTCCACCTTTCCTCCATGTGGCGAACAGCGTCTCTTCTTGCTATTGATTCGTGTATTTGTGCAGATGTAAAACAGTACATGAGATTTGCAGCCGCTCTGCTACAGTCCTTGACATTTCTTCAGCATTCTTCAAAGTCCTTGCACCATAAATGCAAAAGAAAGGTTGTAAGATCTTAGCCAATAGGCATGGTTTTCCTTGATCTGCAGATGCTATAATAACCTGTGCAAGAGAATATCTAGCACATACGACCATAGGAAGTGGAAAATAGGGCTTCCCGTCCGCTCAGCCGTACTCAAGCCACTTGCCGGCCGGCTAGTAGTTGGGTGGGTGACCACCAGCGAATCCCGGCTGTTGTATGTTTTTTTTTTCAGTTAAGTCCCACCCAATTGACTCGAGCCTCTTTGTGTCAGCTTGGTCATTTCTCAGGAGGGCCTTTTCGCAGTGCCGCTCCCACTCAACATCAAGATGGCTTGGTGAGGCATGGGTGAATCGCAAGCAGAAAATGAGTCTGAATGCCGCAATCTGCTTGATGGCCCAGGGGAAAAATTAAGTCGCCATTTGTGATTGGTTGTACGAATGGCAGGAGTCACATGACACTGGAGTTTGCTTACAAGCTCTTGTTCACTCCTCCTCCTGATCCACTGGCACTCGAGTTGACAACTCGTCTTTTGTTTCATGTCAATTAGAACTACACAGAATTTCACCTACTCACTGCTCCACATCGGTACATTTGCTTCATCGCGGAGCATCAAACCCTCCACCCGAAGTGCAACACACGCAGCCCGCCAAAGTGCTTTATCGACATGAGTCCATCTTCTCGAGACAAGAGCTGGTTCTCTTCCATCTTGCTTCAAATCTGCAAATGCTTCAAAAACAGGACGGATTCAACGTACGACCCCTCTTGACAGCCGCAAACCTTGCCACCAAGAAGATCGGCGTTTCTACATCTAGATGGTTCTAAGGTCATGGAGAAAGTCATTGGAATAGGCGGTACAGGCATCGTCATTGAGCGAGGACAGTATGCGATCAAATTACCTCAAATCTCAAGGACTGTCGAGAATGATGGCATTGTACAGTGTTTCAATCTTTCATCAGATGACCCTTCAACTCAGATGGATCTGATGAAAAATGGCAATCTTCAACATTATTCAGCCAGAGAAATCAACACAACTTTCTTGGTTAATATCAATGGCTCACACCATGTCATACATCCATGAACATTGCATCATTATTGCTGATGTCTGCTTGAACAACTTATTATTAACTGACAACCTCTATGTCAAGTTCTATGACTTTGGAGAATCAACTATGATGCCTCTTGATTGGGACCTGACTGGCTCAGATGATCTTGGGTTTTCAATCGTGACTGATATTGGCCAATTTGGTGCTGTCATGTTTGAGACTGTGACAGGCCAAAAATGCAAGTTTGATGTCACTCAGAAATGGAAGCAACCAGGGGATCTGTACACTTGGCTGCAGTGAGACAGCCTTCCCTCAACAGTCAACACATGGCAACAGTCAACACATGGCTAGAGCCTAGGCCATATCATTGAGAAATGCTGGACTCGAGGAATTACATCTGCCAAAGACCTCGCCACAGAACTGGAAAAGGAGAAAGCTGGTGAAATTGAGTAGAGTTTCACTTATTCACACAATACATAACAGGGGAGGGTTTAACAATAAACAATCACAAATCACGCCTTGCAGACTCAGTACCTGTCTTCCAGGCCGTTCACATTCCAATGCCTTCAATACTTTCTCCATGCCACCTTTCCCTAGCTCAGGGTGATCGTGAGTGACAATGACCTGATGAGCCTAACATCTTTCTCTGACTGCAACTTATTCGCCAAGTGAATGGGCAGGAAGATCGACCAAGGGCCTAAATACCACTCAAATTAGACTTGATTCCAAGTGGATTATAGCGCAGAATGCCTACACCTGCGGCTGGTTCGGCCCGCAAAGCTTGATGCTCAGAATATCTTTGGCAAATGCTCTATGGTCATTCAGACCCAAGGCGGCGGTAACCTCATCTACGATTGAAGGTAACTCCTCGAAGTCTTTGATGAGCCTCGAAGAATCGCGAAGTTGGGCCTGTTCGTCCTCCATGCGACCGCCATCGGGGGTAATTTTGCAAAGGATAGAAGTTCTCGCCGCACGCCGCATACTAATTTCTGTCGCAAACCTTGTGCATAGATTTTCTTTTGGGGGAAATGGGATCTCTGTAATTGCCTCGAGGACAGAACTTTTACCAGAAGATTGATCACCACAAACAACAATCTGGGGTAATTGTAATAAGGAGTTCAGGGCAGCCCGGCGGAGGCCGTCCACCAGATCCATGAGCTATCGATGTTCACTGTTCTAGAGTGCTTCCAGTGAAACCCGATGTTGATGGCATAATCAGCTAATGTAGATTTAACACCAGCACATACGACCATAGGAAGTGGAATACAGGGCTTCCCGTCCGCTCAGCCGTACTTAAACCACTTGCCGGCCGGCTAGTAGTTGGGTGGGTGACCACCAGCGAATCCCGGCTGTTGTATGTTTTTTTGCAGTTATTCCCACCGTCCTCCAAGGCTCCAAGCCCAACTAATACTAGACTTGTCAAGAGCTTCGAGACTAGTTGCAGGTTCATACCTCGCTGTTTCGCTCGTTCGCTCGATTGTCTGTATTTTTTTTTTATCCTTCTCCTCCCGTCGTCGTGGCACTCACCCTGCCTTATTGTGATGGCCCATGATCTATACCATGCCACCCCTGGGCTGAAGATGTTTTAGCATACTATGGAATGACTACTGGTGTCTTTGATTGTTGTGGAAGATGTCAAGGAAGCAGCAGATGCACTTATTGAAAGAGGCATACATCGATATCAAGGAGACCACCTGCTATCTTACCACAATGTAAGAGTGTGGGCCTCTTTGATTCTATGGTTGCTCTTACTGCAGTCTCTGACTGGGATACCAAGCTTTCAGACCTTGCCACGCAGAAACGCTGGCAGCCCCAGACAACTGCCAGGTGGCCCTCTATTCCACCGGTACATCAACTTCTAGATTCCTTCACCAGGAAATGGCTGGATACTTCAGATGTGCACCATTTCCATCCGCAGCCACATAAGCTGCTTTTGGGCTGTATGACTATGTTCCAACTTTAAAACTCAGAAAAGCAATTCGAGATTGTAATGCCCAGTTCCCGAACAAACCTCTTCATTCACGAATGCTAGAAAATCGAAAGCTGCTCTGTATGGTTCCAAGGCATATCGACGATCGGATCCATGCTGTCCTCAATTGTGATTCCACTCAGCACTGTTGGCTCCCTGAACTTTGACGGAATTGACCACATTCCTCCGGACGGAACTAATATGACGGTTTCGGGTATTCGCAGATAATGAGACCCCTTTTCCCGTGGAACCTACATCGCCTTGCAAACCATTATCCTTCGAGCCTTGAATTCTATTACATTGTGGAGTTCATGATGTTTGGTATTATTTAGGAATCGAACCTGCCGACTTTGCATGGGATAGCTTTCGTGGCGTTATGGCATGTTGAGTAGGTCCCTTTCCGAACGTCAACTTCTGAAATCTAGCTCAGGCGCAAGGTCACTGCTGAGTTGAGTGACCTTGGAATCGAGAAGATATCCTTCCCAATCCTGCCAAACGAAGCTTTCTTAGATGTTTCACTAATAGGGAAAGCAGCAGGAATTTGGGACCGCTTGAGAAACGCGGTGGCTTGTCATTACGCCTGTGCAATCTCCCAGAAGAGCTGGCAAAAAGGACAAAAAAAATTCTGTTGGTTTTATTAATCCTCTGAAGCATGGAAATTTGGGACACTGACGAGCAGCAGAGTAGAAAATTGTTGCATATTCCGTGGCATCGTATCTGAGGAGGAAGATCAGAAAAGAAATATTTGCAACATTGTTCTTCGAAGAAGCCGTTGTCCATTCACATGTTTGAGGTTCCGCGGCTTCTCCTGAGGGTGGCGATATAGTACAACATAGGCGTCGCACGTCCTCGCTGCCTGGTAGCTTAGATCAAACCTAGCCAGGGGTTGTGTTTTTCCTTGTCGAGTCGATTCAAGATCAAGCCAAAAGAGAGCCAAAGAGAGTCAAGGCATAAGACAGGTAGACCTCGCTACTCTCCAGTATAGAACAATGATGGGCCTTTGAGAGAACAAAACAAGAAGCAGTTGAGATCTCTTTTCTCCTCATGAGGCCTCGTTTGGCTTCCCTGGGCAATCCTTGCGAGTAGTTCGATCGCGCTGGGATCGCTTGTCTTTTCAAACGCTCTTAAAATAGGCCAGGCCTTTGATGGTTTCCTTTTCCAGATGGGGAAGTTGGTAGATAGCAAGGGTATCTGAATCGAGGAGCAACTGGTAACAAAGTCGAGTTAGCTTTGCACGATATTAATGTGAAACAACGCAAAACCGGGGGAATGGGATTGAATGAATAAATAATCCTGCCAGCAAGCAGCGAATTTTTGCTGCTTCGAGGTTGAATGGGGGCTCCACTGGTTTTCATGCGATCTCTGGTTCATGATTATTTTGCTCCAGAATTGCGCACGCTGGAGGCTTGTGGGTTCTAGGAGGACTGTTTTGCTCTATCGATCTCATGGGAATGAAGATGAAACAAACCATTTCCTCTCGACTGGGTCGAAGCGGCAAATACTCCCGTTATCAGAGACCGTTTCTCAGCCCAGTTCAAGAGAAACGGCGGTGCCGGGGAAGAAATGTGACGGATCACCAGAGGGCGGAAGCTCGATTGGAGGAAGATTTCCGTGCCAAGCCGCGATATGTTTTTAGCTCGCCGTTCGGGTTGCAGCTTGCATGTGCCTGCGCGTCTTTGCATGGTGGGAGAACAGGGGCGGTCTCGAGAGCAGCCGAATCACGATGGACGGGCGACGTGTTGGGTGATGGGCGAGCCGGGGTGATTCGAGATTTCTTTCCAGGGCGAGCAGCCCTGTCACACCGGCCTGGGAATTTGCGTTCGAGTCAACGCATCTCCACTGGCTGCATTGAAGTCCGCAGCGCCAAACGCGAGATTGAAAAGCGTCGAACTCACGGGTTAGCTCAATGTGCCGGATCTCATTTGGGCCTGGGCTTCCGGGGAGCAGAGGGCACGCGTACCGATGCGGCGGTTTCGTTGGCGTAAAACCGCATGGTTGACGCCTGTTTGTGAGCGTCGACCGGCGTTTTTACGGGACGGTACGCTGCCGGTACGATCGACCAGGGCAGGATCCCGGAGCTCACGAGCAAGACTGTTGCGCTGCTCTGCTATCGTCAATCCACACTGGCTTCAACAATCGTCATTGCAGTTTCTTTGCGTATTTTGCGGTGTAGAAGTCTGGATTCTAACGGTTCTTGAACCCTGGTTCCAGCAGCCGTTGAGGCTTCCGGGCCGCAAAAAGCATGCGTTTCTTGGTCAGGGAATGTGGAGTGACAAAAGCGCATGGTGATTTAACGTGAGCAAAGTACGTATTCCCGAGTGTTACTGCCTAGAGTTCAATCACCCACCCCCACAGTACTTGTGCGCGGGATCTCCAGTATTCCCTGTGTATTCGTTAAGTTACGGCAGCCCCTGAGACTAGCCTGCACGACGGAAACGGGCAAAATTACACCCCAAGCAACCCTCGCTCACTTCCACAGCTGCATTCCATCTGAGCTTCTCTCTTCCCAGAGGCGAAATTATGGTCTAACAATATCGACCTGGAATGAACCGAAACGGCGTGTGCTTGCTGCCAGAAGGAATGAGCACTCTCTGGCTGGCCCCGTTGTCAACGATCTGCTGCTAGATTTTGGCCTCACAAGCTCGCAAGCTCCCCCCATCATCGCCCTGCTCGAAGTCTCCCCTCCTCCAGTTCGCTTCCATCCGATGAACTGACCGCAATTGCACTGGCGCACGCCTCTCACCTTCTCATTCTGAAGGAGAAGAAGGAATCAAAGACCAGACGAGTAAGTTGTGAAGCTGCCCGTCGTCTCTTTCATTCACCCTAACGCTCCCTTCCTCCGCCACCCCTGTCATCCATATGCATAGAGCTCGCATGCTATGCCCCAAACCCCCTCACCCAGCTTGCGTGCTGCTTGAAGCTCTTCAAGCTACTGCAAGCGAACGGGTCTCGAGCTCCTGCACTCCAGCTGAGCTCGCCAAACTTTGTTTCCTTGATTCGTTTTTTTTTCTTTCTTTTCCAGCAATAGGAATAATGTGCCCGCGAGTGAAGCTATGCTGATTTCGTGTTTTTCTCCGGCCTGCTTCCAATAGATCTCGAGAATAAAATTGTGCATCTCAAGTCACACGCAGGGGTATGTGTATTTCGCGCTTTGACAGATGACTTGGGGTTTTTCCAAAATCCTCCGCTGTCTTTCGTTTCTCCCGCGCTGATATCTCGATTCTGGAAGGCCCGTCTCTTGAAACGCGATTATTCTACACTTGCCGGACACACTCCAAGGCTATTATTCGAGGAGCACATCGTATAGTTCGGGAGTGACAACAAAGTTCTTTGTCTCCTGTCCCTGGTTGTCTCACGCAGACACGACTGGTCGTGACTCCTGCCATGCGATTTTAGCTGTTTCGCTTCTTCAGTTTCATTCACACAACGGATGATGAATTGAATTCAGCATCGATGCACCATGGCTACCGATTGGGAAAAGGAGCGCGGTTATCTGACACAGGACCCATCCAGCCCGTCTGATTCCTTTTACAAAACCCCGCCCGCATCGATTTCGCGGCGGTCGCTCCATCGAAGGGACTCTTCGCCGTGTCCCCCATCATCGCCGCCTCTGTTTCCTACGGGCTCTCGCCGCGATGCGGAATCACGGAATCATGTCCATCTTGCGAATGACGAGACCATCTCGCCGCTGGACCCTCGAAGATTTACACCCACTTTGCATGCCTCCCTCGTGTCAGAGATATTGTCCTTGCGCCGTGACCTGGAGGGTAAAACAAAGGAAATTGACACTCTTGAGTCGAGTCTCGAAACTGCAAGGGTAGAAACAGAATCTCTTCAGGAACTCGTATCCAGAAATGCCCAGGAGACTCGGTCGTTGAAGAGACAGTTGCAACTGTTAGAGGGTGGTTCTAACCTGGCGATGACTGAATTAGCAAAGGAGAGAGATGTGGCCTTGGAAAGTACCTCTGACGTTCGGAAGCGGCTCGAGGCATCGCAGAAAAAGGTCCGGACCCAGGAGGAACAGATGGAGCAAACCCAGCAGTTATGGGACCAAGATAAGCATAAATGGGACGAGGAGCGCCGGAATCTCGAGAGGAAGGTCCACGTGGTCGAAGGGCGGTTGAAGTTAGTTCTCAGCGAAATCGCGGCTGTAGAAGCTTTTAACGCAACTCACGGTGCGGCCGAAGGAGACACTGATGGCCATGGGCGAGAAGGTGCTATCACTCGCGCCAGCGATGCTACAAGCATTAGATCTAGTAGCCGAAGAAGCACTGCAAGCATTGGCACCGAAGCAGATGTACAGCATTTCCGATATTCTGTGATGAGCCAGGCCAATGGCCTCGCGCCAAAAGCCGTGGCTCTGAACCTTGCTGATGAACTTGCATTCGACGAAGAGGAGGAAGAGCACACAGCCTATGCTGACGATGAGCCCCTTCCGGAAGAGAATTATACCCCGAATCAGACCAACCCATTGGACCTGAAAGCTCGACGGATCCTGGGCTTGTCTCTTGACGGTCGAGATGCGCTTGCTCCAAAGTTTTTGGAAGGGAATTATGATATCGACGATGATGCCAAAACGATCTCGAACCAGGTTAGATTTGAATACAGAGACACGGGTATTCAGTATACTCCGCCACCATCCCCGAAGCTTGTTCCTGTCGAAGTTCCCTCCGCCTTCGAGTCCAGTGGCACGCAGACTGTGGAAGTTTCCATAATTGCTGTGACCGAAAGTCGCGAAATAAGTGTGCAAACGACACAGATCCCTGAAAAAACGGATAGTAGTACCATCACAACTCCTGTCATGATGGTATCTTCCTCATGCCAGACAACGAGCGAACCCGCTGAGAAAGTTGTCAGTGATGGGATGCAAAATGAGATACCCGTGCATAACCTACCAGCTACGCCTGAGACCGTTTCCTCTGCCATGCAAACTGACGATGTAAAAGTCGATCAAGTTCCGCCTCCGCGTGTGCAGATACCCATTCCAATGATCGCTGTCCATCCTCCGGGATCAAACCCTCCTTCACCAAGAACCAGTGTAGTGTTACCGCCGCAAACAAAATCCGCCGCCTCTCAAACCGATCTGGATCTGCTCCCGAATACTCGTTCCGCTGCAATGCAAACAGAAGAAATTCGAGTAGATAAACGGACATTGAACCTTACAACTGGGCTGTTGCCATCGGCGATGCCCGATACCCCCGATTCTGATATGCTTCCCTACCTCGCTCCACCTCCAAAATCTCCACGAAGAAAACTTCGTAGTCCTCCTCCAGTTGAAAGCCCTCCAAGAATCGTCAGGGCAAAACGCGCCGGAACTTATCAAGCTTATCCTGGAAACAATGACAACGGACCGCTCACTGAAGATGAGCGTTCAGACATTCGCCGTCCGTTCAGGTCAAGCAGCCTCTTCGCTGGCTTTGGCGATTTGAGCGATGAAGAATTGCCGCGAAAGAAACCAGAGGAGCTATTCGACGACGACGACTTTTTGAATCGACCGATGGCATCCTACACCTTGAAGTCTGGAAAGCTGGTTTCAAAGAATAAGTCGTCTATTTTTGACGACAATCATGAAAGGCAGCATGATGAGGAAAGTTCTTTCAATACTGAAACGACCCTTCATCGTTCTGCTGCCCGGAATAAAACGAATGCCAAACGACCAGCAAGAGCTCAATTGAAACAAATTTCAACATTTAAAGAGCCGGATATGCGACGTGCAGCAATGATCTCTAGTTCTGCTGCTGCACATCAATCGTTTCGTCCGCGTAGCCCCAGTGCTCCGAATTTTAGCGGCCCAAGCACCCAAAATAACAGTCTGCCTCCGTTCCCTGTACCCGTTCGCTTTAGTTCTCGAAAGCCACGGGGTGGCAGTGAAGGAGCACAGAGCCCTACCCCTTACAGTAATTCGAACACGTCAGACCGCATGGGCGAAGGTTTCCTCCGAAAGTCTCGCTCAGCTGCTGTGGTGTCTCGATTGCAACTCAACGGTCACCAGTCCCCTCCGGCTCTTTCACCTACTTCAATTGCTCCAGACAGTCCGCAATATCCACCCATGCCTCTTGACGAAATTACGGTACCCCGTAGTAATGGGGGCCCGCAGAAACGCATGAACCGCCAGCCGGCCTCTAGAGCCGTTTCTCAGGCTCACTCAAGAGCGGATTCGACTGCGACAACCGTGCAGCCGACGAGTGTGGTCGATGCCATCGCGCAGACCATGGTAGGTGGGTGGATGTGGAAATATGTCCGCAGAAGAAAATCATTTGGCGTGACGGAGAAGGATAATTGGGATGCTGGCAAGAGCCCAGAAGAAGCTGCTGCTGCCGCCGCGAATACTGGTGTCAGGCATAAACGGTGGGTATGGCTGGCTCCCTATGAGCGAGCCATCATGTGGAGCAGCAAGCAGCCCACCAGCGGCCCGGCTTTGTTGGGCAAGAGTGGCAGGAAATGTGAGTCTTCACTCCACTTCTTTTTGATATGATATCTCCCTGCTAACTCTTTTAAAGTGACCATCCAATCTGTCCTGGATGTCAAGGATGAAAATCCACTGCCCAAAGGCGCCAGCCCGCAAAACCAGTTCAACCGTTCAATATTGATTCTGACCCCTCAACGAGCGTTGAAATTCACCGCCTTGACCCTGGAACTCCACTTCATCTGGCTAACCGCCCTCTCATTCCTCAGCCATTCATCCATGGCAATGAACGACCTTGCCGCATTACCTCCAATCCCACAGGAAGAATATACGCCCCGGCAACCCACCGCCACTCTTCGACGTAACCCAATCCGTGATTCGATCAAGGTAGCCAAGGGCAAAAACCGTTTGAACGGCAAGTCCAAACACCCCTTCAGATCACAGCCGGCTGCCGTGCCAGAGGTACCACACATTGAAAGCCACGGCGACGAGCCCGTCGCCGACGCAGCTGACCCTCCATACGTCCCAAGATTCGCGTCACATACCAGAAAAAGAAGCAACACTGCACCACGGCCGGCGCCAGGTACGTTTCGAAGCTTTTCCAACAATACAACCGCGCCATCGACGTATAGTGCCACAACCGCGGGTTCGTCGGATCTCTATTCCCCTTCATCTATAGATCCCTCAGGACTCCATAGCGGCAAGAGCAGCTTTAGTCGTCGGACGTCGGAGGCCAGTGGGCCCATCAGTGCCGGGATGGGAAACTTCTTTGATGCTGTGGGAACAGTGAGAATGGAGGCGTTTGTGGATAGGCCTGAAATCTCTCGCCAGCGAGGCTATCGAAGTCGGCATGTTGGTAGAAAGAGGGATCTCAGCTACTGGCCCCAGAGTCCGGACACGGATTTCCCTCGCTCCGACGATGGGAGCGACATATTCTTCCGCAATGATGACCCTTTTAGAGGATTTTGAATCCGCCACTCCTTTTTGTTCCTGCTTCTCCAAAAAAGATGGTCCCAATTATTCTCTTGCTTTTTGATAACCACATCCAGTGATATGTGGTATAACAGGATTTACCGCGCTGGGCTCCGGAGCCAACCTTCTCTCCTTCACTTTTATTTCTGGGAATCTGACGTGTTTGGGGGAATATCCATGGTCATGTTGAAAAAACCGGAGATCTTTCACCATTTCTGCAAATTTTCAATCAGTTTAAATTACTCTGTGTGGCTTTTTGGAAGATATCCCTTCGTTTTGTTTTGATGTATACTAAAAGATACCGACAGGCTTGCCTTGCCTCCTTTTTATCTCTTTCTTGATTTTCCGACTCGAGCCGTTCGATACCGGATGCCGTTTCTGTCCTACTTTTTCCTCATTTTCACTGACGGCTGTGGAGAGCCGGGATGTATATTAATTCTTTACTTTGGCATAAGGAAATCATGCGGACATCCGCTTTTCAGAGATCGAGATTTTTGGAACCGGACTCCCATATCCGGCCCATGCATGAAACCTGGGATAGCCGTTTGCTTTTCATGCATGATGGACTGTTCATTCTAGGAGAAGAAGTTCGAGATTGCTCTTTAACTTGGTGTCATAGAGTATTCCTTTTTGCCACCAACCACCGATGCGCTCCGGCGGAGATATTTCCCCAATTGGGTATCCATTCCATCAGGTACAACGGGATTGGGAAAGACAAATGCTGTTGCCCGGCATACATGTGTGCTGAATGAACTGGCGGCAATCCTGCCAATCATCGCTCTATGCCGCGTCTTCGTTGGCGACGGTAATCCTGTACACTGATGCGCATATCATGACGCTCCCACAACCTTCGCAACCTCTTCCGGGAGCGGGTACGCCTTCTCAACCGGCATCAACTCCCTAGCCTCCTCGATCTTCCCCTCAGCAACCAGCCGTCCCATCCCAACCATCAACTCAGTCACATCCTCAATCGCCACAATCCACTCGTCCACATACCGCTCCACCGCCTCCCCGCTCAACCCAACCTGAATCGACCTATACGGCAGCGGCTCAAACCCAAAATCCCGCTCCGGATCCCACTGCACCCGGACGCACGTATTCCGCTTCCTCTCCTCCAGCGCCCGGTGGTCCCCGTAGAAGGCGGGATCGTGGGTGTTTACGAAGCTGTTTAAGAGGGCCCATTCGAAGCCGGCGCGGGAGATTTCGATGGCGAGGATGCGCTCTTGGTTGGGCTTTGAGGCCCAGCCGGAGCGGTAGGCCATCCAGAGGAAGGAGGGTTTGATCCACGTCATGCGTGTGCGTTTGAATGGGGCCACGAACTTTCCGGCGCGGACCGCAGGGAGGGCGATCTCGGCGGAGTAGGCTTGGTAGACGGTGATGGTGTCGGGGGTGAACTTTGCGCGAATGGCGCGGTAGGGGTGTGATGTGCTCATTAGATCTGACGTTTTGGATCTATATGATTACCAGCATTCGTGTTTTGGTTTTTTCTAACTGCTGTATATCTACTTGCGCCTTTCAGCTGGCTTTTGTATCTTTCGGTGCTTCCACGGCAACAAAGTTGAGCCATACAAGGCTGACGAGGTGGCGCCAGAGCCTTGCCCTTTCTGGTCTCCGACTTGATTCATTCGCAACAAAGTTAGCCAGAACTGTTTATTTTCAGCCAGTGTTGATACAGAGTTGACCACCTGTGACTCAAAGGTCGAGAAGGAATGCTGCGCCCAGTGGGAACGAGTAAGACCGTCTATTCTCTATCTGGAGGTCTTCAAGAAGGCCATATATGGTTTGAAAGGAAGGCTCAGTCGATGCACAAGCGGAGCGGGTGTGGCCAAAAAGTCCCGCCATCTAAAAAACGTAACCACCCAAAAAAGAGAAACAAAAAAATAAAGTGGTAATCACGATAGACGCCAACGGGCATGGGAAACATGAAGGTGTCATCGGTCTGAATGCAACGCTGCGGCAGACTATCGGATCTTCTAGTTGACGCTGCCAGCCATGCCTCCACCACTCTTTTTATCGTATGACCCTTAAAGTATGTACTGTACATACAAAACGTTATCCAACGACGTCGATCCGCGCTCTCCAATCTCTCGCTATTCAACGCCGTCCGTATGCTCGAGTGCTTTATAATTTGGCAGCCTCCTTGACCTCCCCGATCTTCAACTTGGCGCCATATTTCTTCAGTACGGAATCGTTATGATACTACCAGACAACATGCGTTAGCTAGCGCCCCGTCTCCTAGGACATCGCAAAAAGCTGGAACCGCCGCGAGACCAACCTTCCAGAACTGCTTTGAGGCGTCTTTTCCAGCGACACGCTTCAAGATCTTCGCGCCTCCGGGATGCTCGTCGACAAAGTTGGTGATATCGTACACGCCGGAGTCGACAATGATGTAGAGACCCTTGTCGGCGGTCTTGTGCTCGGCAACCTCCGTGGGCGTGAAGGTTTTCGACATCTTTTTCCAGTTAAGAGGGTGTGATTTGGGGATCTCTCGGTTCGGATAACTTCGTGAGGTTGGGAATGCAGCTCAGGAGCGTTTCTGGGGTATCTCAGACGGTTCTGGAACTGGTTAAAAGACACCGCCAGATCTGTCGAAATCACGGCTTCTCGTGAATCCTGCCTAGGTTTGCGCCGGCGGCCTTGCGATCGAGCTCTCCGCATTCGATTCGACGGCTCCTTGTTCGCCGAACCGAGGCAATTTTTGTCCAATGAGAGCGCTCCTATTGCAGCACAAACCTCAAGCTTCCGATTGGCTACAACTGGGATATCAATTGCTTATATAATACACATATATCCTCGATGGGACTGAAAAGAGCCAGCCCTACAGATTCACATCTTGCTTCTCTCCCCGGTGGCCCCTTGGCCTTTGGGCACCTTCTTATCCACACCTAGAGTCTCCAAGTCCTTCTGCTTATGATAATGCGGCGCCACCTCAACAAGCCACTCCGGCTGCAACGGCATATTGCTCCGCATGTACTCCTTGCTTGTGAGAACCAGTTCATGGTAAATAACCCATTTCGGGTTCACTTCGAACAACGTGCTCGACGGATGGAGATAGACAGTTTGACCGTTTTTCACCGTCCAATAACTGTCGCCGCCCCGCTGTAGGCGTGCTGCGTTGGGGAAGAAGCCCGCCGTGATCGCTTTCTGGATGGGGACCAGATTGTTGGCACCAGCCGTGCTAACTGCCACTTCAACGCGATCACATAACTTGGCCAATTGATCTCGCACATCACGAGCGCGCGTGAGGCTTCGTTGCTGGAGGAAATTTTCTCTAGCCCAAACATAGCTGAAGTCGGAGTCGACCCACTGGTTCCAGATGTTTAGAAGCGATAGATGGTCGCCGCCATCTTTTACTGTGAACCGTGCTCGAGCGCTGTCTGCATGGATCTTTTTATCCTTTGGCCTGTAAAATAAGGCACTGGCCTCGCCAAGCATAGCAATAATGGACAGGATTTCCTCGACACATCCGTATTTACCGGCAGCAAGGATAGCCTTTGCGAGCATGGGGTCAGTAGGGAATTCTGCCATTTGTCTTCCGATTTTGGTGAGTTCTCCATGATCATTCAGGGCCCCAAGAGCATACAGCTGCTCAAGAGCACGGATGAGCGTTTCAGCAGGAGGCGGATCCATAAAATCGAAATCCAGTAGATCGTCAATCCCAAGGGACTTCAGCATTAGAACCACACTGCTCAGGTTTGTCCGCTGAATTTCTGGGGTGGTATTTGCTTCCAACTCGTTATGATAGGCCCATTTAGTGTAGAGTCGGAAGCATTTGCCGGGTCCAACACGGCCAGCTCTTCCTGCTCTTTGGCCTGCAGATGCTCGAGAACATGGCGTGACAACCAAACTCTCCATTCCGGTGCGAGGGTTGAACACATTTTCCTTGACAAAGCCCGGGTCAATCACGTATACAATTCCATCAATAGTCAAACTCGTTTCGGCAATATTCGTTGCCAAGACCACCTTTCTAGCACCAGGAGGAGTAGGTTCAAAGATTTTAGTCTGTAATTCTGACGGTAAGTTGGCGTAGATCGGACAAATGATCATCTCGGGTACTTTTCCTCCCAGCTTTCTAGCAGTCTCCTGAAGATTTTGCTCTGCAGCTTCTATCTCCTCTTGACCTGTCAGAAACACGAGGATGTCACCTCTGCCCTGAGTTATATGGATCTGGAAAACCGTCGTAATGGCTGCTGCGAGGTAGTTAGCTTCCGGCTGAGATGTGTAATGTATATCAACAGGATATCTGCGCCCAGGAATGTTGAAAATTGGAGCATCATCAAAATATTTTTGGAACTTCTGTGCATCGATGGTAGCCGAGGAAATCAGCAACTTAAGATCTGGCCTTGCTTTGGCAATATCCTTGAGTAAGCCGCAAGCAATATCAGTTGGAACTGTCCGTTCGTGCGCTTCATCGATCATCAATGCAGCGTATTGACTAAGGTCAGGTTCCGTCAACAACTCTTTTAGGAGTAAGCCGTCTGTCATATATTTCAAAATCGTTTTATCACTCGTTGCATCCTCAAAACGGATCGCATACCCAACTTCGTTTCCTACTTTCACGCCCATCTCTTCCGCCACACGAGCAGCAACGCTCATAGCGGCTACACGGCGAGGTTGCGTACAACCAATTTTCATGCCGCCTTTTGTATATCCAGCTTCATGGAGATATTGGGGAATCTGCGTCGTCTTCCCGCTTCCTGTTTCTCCAACTATGATAATGATCTGATGATCAGCAATTGCTTGTAATAACTCCTCGCGAAATTGGTATATGGGTAAACTCTTCCTGGTTTCTTCGATCGAAGCGGCCTTCTTCTCGGCTGCATCAATTTGTTGCGCTAGTAATCGCTGTTCTTTTGATAGGGGTTTCCGGTCGCCCTCTAGTTTTGAATCCATAATGAAATTGATTTTTTGAGCGTCATCAAACACGTACTCGTAGTCGCCCTCATCGACGAATTCCGCTCTGCTAATCTGGGCTTTCGCCTTTGAAGTCTGTTCAATCTCCCATTCCTCGTGCTCCGTGACAAATCGTTCTTGTCCACGTTCGTCTCTGTCCACATAGCGTTTGTAGAGCGCCTCTTCTTTGCGTTTCCGATCTATCTTCCCTTTCTCTGTAATGTAATCCTCTGGTAACATATAGCCATCCCTATGGTCATCTATTCGGGATCTCTCTTCTGCAAGCCGAAGAAGTTCGCGATTTTTTGCGAATTCCTCCTTTTCACGTCGGGTCAGTGTGGGATTCTCCCTTAACTCGGCGGTTTCTTCAGCGACTTGCTTGCGCAGCAATGCCAGTCTTTCTGCTTCACGCTTTTTCAGATACTCTTGGCGGGAGCGAAGTCGGAGATCGGGCATGGCAGCCTCCCTCGCTGCGGCATCTTCAGCCAAAGCACGCCTTCGCGCTACGTCGCTATTCTTGGTGGATGAGCGATCTTCAACAATTTTTTTTGATCTTTCTTCGTCCTTCTTCGCCAGCCGTTTTGCAAATTCATCGCGTTCCTTGAGGTCGCGCTGTCTTGCCTTCTCGCGTTTCGTGCCCTCGTCAGCATCAGAGCTGACGGAGGCTACAGAAGGAGAACCATCTCGTTGTCCCAGGGATCCCTCAACAAGGTCCTCAGCTCTATCATGGCGTTCTATTTCATCTTCCGGTACCTGTTCGTCACCCCAACGGTCTTCAAAATCTCTCTCCTCGATCCGCCGTAATTTTCTCGAACGATGACGCCCTGAACCTTCCGCATCCCGACCCCTTTTCCTTTTCTCTTCCTTGTCACCACGCGACCTACTATCCCCATTGCGCTCCCTGCGCTTTGTCTTCTCCGCATCCATCGGTGCCAATCCCGGTTGATCTGACACATCGTCTTCCATTTCAACCAGCCGATATCTCTTTTTCGCCGTCGCTTCAGGCTTCTTTTGTTTTTCCAAATTCCCGCCGGAGCCTGGTTTCCCAGCTCGAGACCATAGCTCTGAGACGAAAGGGTCAATATCTCCGGCTTCCGGATCGAGGAATGGTTCCAGTTTCTCTCGTAACGCGCCGGATGATTTTGCGGAGGACGCCGTGGCAAGGATGAAATCGATGACGGTGGGATCGGATGCGCCAGTAAGGCGAAGGAGGGAATCTGATACGTATGTCTTGATATCCATGTCGACTTGTGGTTCGGCCTAATCACGGCTACCGGGGAGGTTTCACGGAGGGAGGGCAAGGAGGTAGGAGGTAGGAGCTAGACCTAAGCAAGGTGCAGAGCTCCTTGTAACAACAAAAGGTGAACTCGTAGCTAAGATAAACGTCTGCAAAAGACAGTATTCGTCGGGTGCCGCTGGTAGACCTGATGCTAGCTGACCTAGTTAAGCAGAGCGCGTTTCGTGCTTTACTCATTAATGGCCCGGGAACCAAACAAATCTCAAGGTCAGCTTCTCCTCGGGCCCCTCTAGAACGCATTCGACTTCACGGCATCCTAAAACTAGAATGTTGAAGTTGGAGATGGTGAGTTGAAGAAGAGGCCCCGTTCAAGCAAAATCGCCAAGCTTTCCGCCATCTGGTCACGTGGACGGCGGAGGGCCATAGGGAATTGGGGATGTTGCGGTTAGAATTAGAGACGGACTACATGGCAGTAGTTGGGTTCATATTATATATAGGCGCCTTGAATGCCATTGATCTACTATCAACTAGGTCCGTGGAGATGGTGTGATGATGTTGACAGTGTTAAACACAGCAGCTTAAAGGCAAGCTTTGAAATCAGCTACTCGCCGTGTATTCTTCTAACGGGTATTGTACATACATAAGATGGTATAGGATAATGTCGACAGGTCTATTATAAGAAAAACCGAGACACCATCTGTTTTAAACATATGAATAGTTGTAATACAGTTGAAAGGAAATTCGTGCCCGCAGGGATGACAAGGGTAGGATATGCAATGGAAAACAAAAGAGAGTATCAATATACGAAAAGAAATAAAAAGGCTAATTCAGCTCACGGGCGCACCCAGAATAAACGGCCAAGTCGACACAAGAGTCATCGTAACAAGACATGATGTTGAAATAGAACGCAAAAGCAAGCTTTTCTGGATGCATGTTGCACATTAAATGCAAATGTAGAGGGGAAAAAAGACTCATTAAAATGATGTAAAGTTGTGGCCGCCCCGTTTCCATGACCGTTGATAGAAGAAATGCCGTAAAAAAAGTCCCCAATGATACCAAACCGCAAGGTATCCGGTGAAATGTACAGTCAGAGTCGCACAAAACGCCTTTCGCTAACCCCAAATCTTATGAAAATAGCTTTAGGCTAAGAGGATTGCTAAAAGGACCAAATGTTGTTCAGACATCAATCATTTCGGCATCTTCAACCAGGACTTCGTCGGCTGGGCCCCAGTTGCCTTCGAAGATAGTAGCACCTGCACGCCGACGCCGCTCGGTCCACTGGACTCCGAAAGATTGAATAATCTGATTGACCACAGGCCGGTCGGTCGGATCAGGGGATATCATCCACCGGACAATTTTATCGAGGGCTCCGTCATTGCTGGGATCAACCATGAAGGCTGGAGGGTCAGAAAGCTCACCGCTGCGGGCAGACACCAGATGTGGTCGGTTCCGCTTCACATTCTGTTCATCTGACAGCATGTCGAGCGTGAGTGGCTCTTCTGAGGAACATAAATCATCAAATGAACAACTATTTGGCAATGGATTTCCCGATGCATCGCGTAGGATGCTAGTTTCGGAGCTCCATGTCAAGCTTGGGACGTCGCTCATGTCACCGTTTCGAAGCTTCTGCCATGATACTCCATTATCAGGCAGTTCAACGTTGCCAGCAATCTCAAATATAATAAGACCGAGTGCGAAGATATCTGCCGGCTTATCGTACCGTCCCATGAGGACTTCTGGGCCGATATATTCTCGGTCACCTTCACCTTCAATGCCCTCGGCAGCTGGCCAGCGAGTTGCCATACCAAAGTCGGCAATTTTCAAAACGCCTTCGAATGTGATCAAAATGTTTGCGGGCTTCAAATCCAAATGAATGAACCCAGAGTCATGGATACATTTCAAGCCCTATGAAAGCATTAGCAGTTATAGATGATGCGTCATGGAGACAATTCTTACCAGTGATAGTTCCAGGAGTATTTTCCAGATGCGGAAATCGTCGAGTCTTGCTTTGAGTCCTACTTGCGAAAGGAAAACATCCAGGCTCCCTTCTTCACAAAATTCAGTCTGGATGTAAAGGTGGTTATTGTTTTCCCAGCTGTCAGAAAAAGAGATAATATGATCTGAATTTGCCAATGCTTTCAATATTGCCACTTCAGTATTTCGCCTTTCACGATCCCTGATTCCGGTGAAAGGTTGTTTCGATTTCTTGACGGCCCATAAGCGTTGTGGAAAAGCCGGTTTCCTTGATCCTGACACGAATGGAGTTGCTGGCTGTCGTTCAGTCACGCAATACACTTGAGAGAATTCACCGGTTCCTATCAGCTCGACCTTGTCAAAACGGGAAGTTAGACATGGATCAACTTCGGGCGCACTGTAGCCTCCAAGCGAAATAGTGGAGCGCTTCCCAAGATGGGGAAAGTATTCTCGGGGACCAGTTGGAGTAGCCGGCAGATTAAGGGAATAAGGCCCCTGACTGGAAGTGTGGTCACCATACGCTGAGATCGACAGGCCGCTTGGATCAGGCGGCAAAACATGCGCTTGGTGTTCTTGAGGAGTATGGGGAGACATGTGATCAATTGATTTACGATTGAGTGGGCTCGCTGTCCAGGAATGTAGCTTAGTATTCTGTTCAACTGATAAACATTGTGATCATAAGGGGAAGCTTACAGCAGGGTCCAGACACAACTCCTCCCACTTCAAATATCGAACTAGGCGTATAGTCGCTACCGTTTGCTTGAGAACCAGAAAACTGGGATATTGAAGACCCAAAGGCTTTTTTGGTCGGGGTTGGGGGGAGTTCCAAATCCATTGTTAACTGGCTATCTTGGTTCATGGATGGAGATTGAGAATGCGGGCCTTCGTCGCCGTCGACACTAACAATACTCCCTCGTCGGGAAATCGTAGGTTTAACAAAGCTTCTCCCGAAAATGCCCATACCTTTCGGCGCACTGTTTTTGCCGGTGATTGTGGACGTGTTAGTAGGCGTCCAAGGAGAACCCGCGGCCCTGAAATTGTAATCACCATCGATAGATTGACCAAAAGGTTTGCGCGCTGGCAACATAGTTGAGGTTCGCTTGCAGGGTGTATCGGGCATATTCTTACTGGTAACTGATGCGGTATGAACATCGGCAGCGTTTCGGTTCTTTTTCGATATAAGACCAGTAGACATGAACGCCGCTGGAAGAGGCTTCACAAGCCGGTAGTTGTCAGGTGTTGCAAATGAAGAATCGGATATATTAGATTCTTCATGCTGCAGACGGCTTGATACGAGTGGCCTAGAGGTACCAGCGGGGAGAGATTTGGAGAAATTGAAGATCGGACGCGGGCTTCCGGGTCTGGCAGGAGCCGGTGCATGTGTGGGAGAATCATCTGCAAAACTGGAGCTGGATGAGGACTGTGTAATAGTCCTTGACAGCGGGTGGGCACTAGGTACCGGCTGCCCAAACCCGGTGAAATGAGAGGGAGTGGGAGTTGACGTGCTTGCGAAGATGCCAGTAGATGGTGTGAAGCTATCGCGTTTAGCAGGAGAAAAAATATTGCTCTCTACGGACGCACGCTGGCGGTTCCGCAAGGCAGGAGTTGCAGGTGAAATATCAGGTGCTTCATCGACATTGACCCTATTCCGGGAGAAAAGGAGCCGATCGTTTTGGCGTTGTTGCAAAGTGGATTTTCGTAGTGATGATGACCGTTTGGGGAGGTTGGAGAATAGGGATGGGGTTTGCGGAAATAGGGGTGTACTTGATTCTTGTTCGCTAGGGTCACTTGGTGAAGGGGTGTCCGGACTTTCGTTATTATCTTGAAGAAGATTGAATTCAGAGCCAAAGTTGGCACCGTGAACACTTCTTCGTTTAGCCACAGGGCTTCCGAAACTCGGTTGGTCCAAATTCATCAGCCCGTCTCCTCGTTTGAGGGGACTGACTGAGCCGAAATTCCCACTACGTCTTTTCTCTATCCGCGAGGGGACAAGTTTTGGAACCATAGTTTCATCGAGCGACTCTGTGGGAGTCGTGCAAGTCGTCGAATTTTCCTGGGAATCATGAGGTTCCGTCACAATCGCAGGTAAGACCGGTTTATTCTCCGCTGGCTCTCTAGCGATAGTCTGGGACGATCCGGCGTTCCCATGATCGCGCGACTCAGCGAGAGCACGTTTTGCGGGGCTTGAGGGCATCATTCTTAACCTTGTTGATGAGAGACTCCCGTAGCGACGAATTCCAGGACGGTGAATCCTAGCGGTTGGGGAAAAGGGAATGGCGACCGGCGGCGAATTTGTGGAGGAAACGAAGAATAAATTTCCTTGAGATGAAGCTCGCTTCGAGGGAGAGATTGAGGAAATGAACTGGGCGTGTTTCCCAGGCGATGTATGGAACCTTGACGGCGAAAGAAGTCGAAAATCCGCCCCTTTTGACGGCGACCTGGAAAGCGAGCGGCGAAGTTGGTTGAGGGCAGAGTTGGTGTGTGAATGGAGTCCAGAGGGCGAAGGAAAGTGAAGGGTCCCCCCCGCGTCACGGTGCGGCGAGAACGAAGCAACCATTGTTGGCTTTGGCCGCTGTAGTGAAGTTCGGGAAGCGAGTAAATCGGGGTGAGTACTGCAGTCGCGTCTGATAACCTTGGATGGCGGGTAATGAAAAACGACTCAGCCTGAAGTGAAGAGCCTGAACGTGAGAAGTCAGAGGGAAACGTTGCGGTGGCTCCTGACAACTTTAAATGCTGGATGTTGTCAACAGCGAGCGCGCCATGCAGAACAAGTCAAGGGAAGGGTAAACGAAGGGATCAGGTTCCAGAGCGCGCGTCGCTATGTTTTGAAGGGATCGAATCCGGGTGTTTCCTCCATCCGCGCCAACTCAAACGTGCCAGCGGACCGGATACACGTTGCAAAGCAGGCTCGAGCCCAATCGTTTAGTTGCTTTCGAAAGAGTCTGACGCAAAGAAGCCCAAGGGAGCAATGGTGTCGGGGATTCGGAATAGGCGCGCGCGTTATCTTGGGTGGTTGAAACAGGTGGCTCACAAGCCTCGATGGGTTGAAACAATCCGTGCCGGAAGTCTGAAAATTGCCGCTCCGACACGCAGGACAAGCGTGGCGCGTCGCGCAAGCAAGGATATCAGGTGCCGACGAATCGATTCGAGGGTGGCAGCGAGCGTGAGTATGAGGGTCGAGCGATGGTGAAGACAGCAGGATGAGAAGTGAGTTGGATGAAGTTGGTTCTCGACTGGCCAGCAGGGCGAAGACGGTTCCTGATCACGGGACACGGCGCGAGTCTCATATTATTGTTGTTTCCTGCTTGGGAAGGAAGTGGGCGGGACACGCGATCACGCGTTTGTTGTGGCTGCCGGATTCGGCTAGCGTGACTGATAACGAACTGTTTGCTTTGTTTGACACTTTATCTATGCACCCGCTATCGGCCCTATGATATTCCGACTGTGCATTAGCTACATGACGCCATAATAGACTAGGCTTTTGCTCTGATTGGCCATCTCCCTAACTATCCTCGCTGGTCGCCCGTTGACGTTGACACATCCTGCAGCATACATTTCAACTCCTCCAATACGGCATTAGCAGTACTAGTATCTACGCGAGAACTTGGGCCAAAGATGCCAACATCTAATGAACCGTCCCTGATCGCTGCTTCAATATCTATCGACGGCTGGATTGGATTCTGAGGTTAGCAAAACTCGAATTGCGTGGCATCACTGAAGTAGTGCAACATACCTTGTAGACTTCTTCTGGTCCCATTGCCTCGACATTCAACCAGGATGGGCTATGTATCAAAGTTGTAGTCTCCACAGGAATTCCAGTTGGTGTTCTGGAGTTTGTGGCCTGGTCCGCCGTGCCCGCATTGGATAGGATATCCACCATATCTAGCTCTTCAAACGGTATAAATTTCGAGAGCGCGGCATCCGACTGCTCTGTGGAATCCGGATATCTTAGGAAGTTCACAACCGTATCCACCTTTATTCCCGTCCATTCCGCAATTTCATACAAGGAAACGAAGGAGTTTTGCGCATTACTGATCTCGCGTATGTCGTTTTGGATATTGCGAGCGAGTTGAATTATATTGCTTTGTTCCAGATTTTCAATGCAAAGGGGGACAATATTCAAAGTTGGAGCGGGGAGATTCGGAAGCCCTTCCATCGCATGGGACCTGTTAGCAAGATAAATGCCGACGATCAGGGGAGACCCAGGCGAGAGAGGAAAGAGTCTCGCGTGTACTTTAGCGTATGCAGCTAAAAATATCGACTGGATCGATACGCCGTGTTTTCGACCTGCTTTATCTAATTTGCCGATGCTTGAAATGAGGGAAGGACAATAGGTCTCCGTCATATCTAGCCAGTCGAAAGAGGCCTCTGGCGGAGTGTCGTGTTCGAGATTTGCCTTTGATAAGTATTTCGTCCAAAAGTCTTTTCGAGCATTTGGGGGGGAACTGATACTACTGAAAGCTATGAATTCGGACATATCCAGTATCGATGTGGGCTGTATATTTTCGGGATAACAATTCGCGGAGAGCATGTTTATAATCTGCTCCAAACTAACAGCATCATACAGTGCGTGATGGATATGCAACATCACTATTGTTTCTGACACGGTTTTGGACGCGTACAAGGTTACAAACCTTGCATTTGTTTCTGTCTGCCTATCCGAAGGATGTTGGAGATTATTTCGCCAGATGATTGGGTTTTCGACTGTCCTAAAAACTGCTTGGATATAGCGTATCCCCGAGTGGCCCGTTGGGAGAAACGTTGTTCGAAGAATCGGAAGCCGATCAAGTGTCTTGCTCCAGCCTTTTTCTAGTTCCTCATGCGTTATGCTCCCTTCTAAGCGATAGAGAAAACTCGGGAAAAAGAGCTTCCCTTTGGAATGCTTCCACATTTCTAGCATATATATTTGACCTGGTGTTGCTGGCATCACGCCCTCGACTTCCGACACTATTTTATGATGGCGTAGCAGACTATCAATGCCAACCTCTCTCAACATAGAAGAGCATATTAATTTTGAATCAAGCACTTCCGCTTTTGATTGAGAGATACGGGCAACTTGTGCCATCTTTTCAACACTGCCAGCACGTAGCATATCGCTAACTGCTAATATCACAGATTTCTTCTTAAGTAAAGCTGACACCTTGATTGCACTTATGCTATCCAGGCCAATATGGAAAAGGGTTGTATGCTTTCCGATATCCATCTCGGAAGTGTTCGCAACTGATGATAGCACGGACCTGATGTCACGTTCTAGTAGAGTCCATCCTTCTGGGGATGCATCACTACTCTGTGAAGAATACGATGTTTCGAGACCTCCTGCCGAGATGGTTGAAAACGTCAAGCCGCAAATGGACACTGTCTCATCATTGAATTCCACAGTTGGATTGTTAGGATTGTCCAAGAGCTCCGTAAAACAATGGCTAATTCGATCCAGTAATTCTGTCGTGCCGGGTAGACTAATAATTGTACTTTTGCAAGCAACGCGCCAAACGACTGCATCATTTGATAATTCCATCTCGACACAAATTGGATATTCAACATCAGATGAGCTTCGAACTGATTTATACAGCGCCCTATGGTCTCTCACGGGCCTCTTTTGGTATATGAATAATGTATTGAATAAGGGCTGATTTCCAATTCCAGACAGAGATTTCACTTTTCGGAGTGGATAATGTTGGTTTTCAAGTATACCGCCCATCATTTCCTGGATATATTGTAGCATTTCATGTCGAGAGCCGTGAAGGATTCCACGAATGGCAACAGAGCTCATCGTGGGAAACATTACTTCCTCAGCAGCAGCAGTGTCTCTGCCTGACATCACGGTGCCACAAACGAGATCAAGTTGATGTACGTAGCCTGCAAGCGTCATCAACCAGCAGGTCAACCCTAGCGTCTGAGGCGTGATTTTGTGTTTTCTGCAAAATGAGACAATCTTCGTATTGGACAGAGGTAGAGTTCTCTCGTCCCGATAGATTTTGAGAACCTTTGAATCGGTTTGCGTTGGGAATGAAGTTGGCTGCACTCCTTTCAGGTATCCTTTCCAAAATTGGGAGGCTTTTACCCGGTTCGATGAGTTTACGATGTTTTCTAGGGTAGCGTGGTATGACGATGGCTGCGTAGTCTCACCGAAGTAGTTTGCTGCGATAGTCTGGTGCAGTAGATCGAGTGCCCAGCCGTCATAGAGCGCGTGTGCTATGGAAATATGCAACAACCTTTGGTCTCGGTTTCGCAAAAGGCGTATTTTGAAAAGTGGGAGTCGCAGGCTATCGTTCACCGCATTCCTCCTTTCATCCTCAAAAATGTGATCGATTGAACTTTCGCTCGTAGGTATCTCCGCCCAATCCATTGGTTTGCCCGAACACATAACCAATTGTGCAAATGAAAACGGTAAATTGGGATCTGAAATATGCGTGAATGCTGTTCGCAGAATCGGATTATCTTCAATTGTTTTCTCAAATGCGTTTTTCAACTTGCCGATATCTACGTGCTCTTCAATTTCAAGAACATCTTGGTTGAAGTAATGCATGTAATCGGAAGCAATCATTTCCGCAAGCATCCCTTCTTGTAGAGGCGTGGTGGGCAAAACGTGCTGAACACTAGTAAGGTCGATGGCATCAGCTTCTAGAGATGCGCGAAGAGCGTTTTCCAGACTCGTGAGTGCCTCGAAAGAATGATTATCTGACTCGCGATGGTCAACAATCTCTTTTATCATAGCTTCGATCGTCTGGCAATGCATTATTTTGCTGACAGATAGCGCCAGGCCTGACTTTTTGAGTCTCGAGGAAAGTTTGATAGCGTCAATGCTATCCAAACCGAGTTCAAAAATTGAAGTGCTTTCATTGACTGCAATTTCATCAATATTGGCCAATCCGACGATCTCTTGCCGGAGTTGTGTGGCTTTAGGGCTCCATTCAAAGTGAGAGTGACCATTAGCCACAGATTTAGATCTCGAGTACTGTTCTGTTTCTGTATGTATTTTGCCGGGAGAGGTAGAATTGGCGATTGATCTATCACCGGAAGGACGTAAAGCCACAGACTGATCACCGAGGAATCGCAACAGAGTATCCTTGAATCGATTCAACAGGTCTATTGCAGCCTCCGAAGACAAAATTTGCTCCTTGACAACAATACTAGCGGTCAATGTGGCATTTCCATTATCCGTGGCTTCAAAAGACAAGGGATAATCAGCTCCGCCATGAGACGCTACAGGGACCCAGAGTGAGTCGCAGAGCGTGTGAGAGCCTGGAAGTGCTTTTTGAAAGACAAAAAGATTATCAAACAAAGGGTTCTCAACCCCCTGGCATGTCCATTTGATAATATCACGTAACGGCGTGTGTTGGAATGGAACCATAGAGGCATGAAACTCATGGCAAGCCCGGACAAGTTCTGATAATAAAAGGGTATTAGGAATCGGGATATGGCACGGAACTGTATTGAATAATGGCCCAATCACATCTTCCGCGCCGCTGAAATCTAGGCTCCGGCCGGAGCTCACGACTCCAAGTGTAGGAATGAAACCGAATTGTCTTTCGAACACGTCAAGCCAGCAGCCATGGATAACGGCCTGTTCTGTAACATTTAGATTTCGTCTGACCTCTTGGAAATGCTCCAGTGCGTTTATCTCGATGGTGAGAACGTGTTGGCTTTCCCCGAAAGCGTGTGAGTTGGAAGGTAGTGTCTGGGGTTTGACATCTCGCAGGTGTTGGACCCAGAAAGCTTCAGCATCAGGCTGCTTGCAAAGCGGACCAAATGGCAGCACATCGAAAAATAATGATGTTTCAATATTCTCCTCGCCGCCATATACTTGAACAACTTTTTCAAGAAGCAGCGCGAGACTAATGCCATCATATAAGCCATGAAACATATTCAAGCACATTAATGTACCAGATGGCCCAGATACCGTTCCGATTTCCCAGACCCTGTCGGTGAAATGGTGGAGTGTTGAACTCCACTTTGTATATCGTTTCTGTGACAGAATGCGCAATTCAGAGTCATCAGAAGTTTCAAGTTCAAACCACGGAAAGTTATCCTCTTTGAGTACTATTTGTGCATACCCATCCATTGTGGCCACGAACTTGGTGCGTAAGATCTGGCAAAGGCCTTGAACTTTCCGCCATGTGGCCATCAACCGGGGAATGCTAACGTGTGGGAACAACTCAAACGTAAAAGTCGAGAGGTACGTACGGCCTTGACTTTCAAGGCATCTGTATATCATCCCATCCTGCAAAGGTGTACAGGGGCTTACAGCCTCAATTATATTGGTAGGAATGCATAGCTCTTCGGCAAGCGAACCAAGATGTCGGTGAGCAAAGGCAGTGATTGATTGTTTGGCATTCTGATATAATCGGAGGCTGGATTTGACGTGATCAGCGGATAGTTGTAATTCTTCTGAGAGGACGGAGATCACAGGATCTAGGGAAAAGCATTGATAAGACTACTGTCAAATATTTCGAAGATAAAGGGGTCTGTTCTTACTTTTCATGATCAGAGCTGGCTGAGCAGTATTGAAGCCAGCCTGCTTAAGTGCTCGAGCCAGCGATATCACAGAGATGGAATCCAGGCCGAGTTGGAATATATTGGACCACGGTCCTACATCCGCCGCGTCACAACCTGCTAGCTCAGAGACTATCGAAATAACATCTCCCACTACTTTTGAGGTGATTTCCCCTTTCTCATTACCATGTGATATAAGCCTTTGCATTTGTTCAGGTGTCAGGTTAGCATAGATCTCCTTTAGCCGTTTGATTTCGATCTTATTATTTGGCGAAAGCGGAAAGCGGGTAAGTGGAATGATATGCGTTGGAATCATATAGCCGGGAAGATTTAGATTGCAAGCTCTTCGAACGTCGCCCAATATTTCATAAACTTCACGTCCCATGTCGATAGTAACGGTTGATTCTTTGTCATAGCACTCCCCACGGGTGATAAAAGAGACAAGGTGCTCTTTACCTGCCGAAGGATGATTCAACACCATAGTGACAGTCTCTCCTAGAATTTTGGACGCTGACTTAATAACGTGGTTGATTTCCTCTATTTCAAGCCGCTGACCACGTAACTTAACTTGATCGTCCATGCGCCCAAGGAAACAGAAGCTGTTATCATAGAGCATTCGCACAAGGTCACCAGTGCGGTATACCCTCTCGCCCCATTCGTCGAGATACTGGAACCTCTCCTCTGTTAATTGGGGTCTGTTCAAGTAACCACGGCCAACAAGCGGGCCAGAGACACAGAGTTCACCAATGCCACCTTTCAACACTGGAATATTGGTCCCGGGTTTGAAAACGAAGGAGCCAACGTTATCGAACTGAGGTCCAATATTCGACGGTTTATCCCATTTTGTCACTCTGGGGAGCATCGTGCAGCCAATTGTGACTTCTGTCGGTCCATAGCCGTTATATATCACCTGCTTTGACCCCCAAGCATCCAGAATCTCTTGCTTCAGCGCCTCGCCACCAGTAATGAATACTCCACGACAGAGTGAGGGAACTTCATCGGGGTGAAGCAAACGAGCCAAACTAGGTGTCAAATCGATGTGCGTTATTTCAAGCTCTCTAATCGTCCCTGCTAAGTCTTCGAACAAGACATCTCTGGGACATGAAGTAACGCAGATTCCGACACTCCAGCTCCAATACTGCTCCAGCACACTGACGTCGAAATGGAACGAGGCAAACTGGAGCCAGCGAGATGTGTCATCCCAATGTCCAGCAAATAACCTTTGGAATGAAAGCATTGCTTGGATAGCGTTGCTGTGGGTTATCTCACAGCCCTTTGGTGTACCTGTGCTTCCAGAAGTATATAAGCAATAGCAAGTATCGTCACCGCTGACTGGATGCTCGAGTACAGGAGAGTTGCACGAGATATTGTCCAGAAGTCCGATATCATCCAGGGCTATCACCTTGACACCGTCAATTTTCAACAATTCTTCCTTTTTGTCGGATGTGCATAGTAAAAGTTTAGATCCTGAATCCTCCATAATGAACTGTTTTCGTGCGATGGGTGCCCCGGGGTCTAATGCCAGGTACGCGCACCCTATCTTCAAAATCGCGAGTATAGCGAAGTACGCTTCAGGACATTTATCGAAGCAAATTCCGATTAACCTTGATACTGATGCCCCGAGTTGTAAAAGGAGGTTGGCATATTTATTACCTTGGTCATTAAATTCTTTAAATGTCCAACTCTGAATCGTCAATATGTCGTCAGAGCCTGGCGATCGAGATGCAAACTCAAGAGCATTTTTTGATGGGTTTTCAATGGCCTTTATTTCAACAAATTGATGTAAGAGACTGACTGGAGCCGTAATATATACATCTTTTCGAGGGACGGCACATTTAAGCGCTCGATCCATCGTCTGAGCGCTTGTGCAATCGGATTCTGGAGAGAACAGGCTGTCCATTAGAAGCCAATCAAGCTGACTGAGTAATAGTTGCGCTTGATCAACGGGCAAGATATCGTCTCTGAATGTTATGCAGAATTCGAGTTTATCAAGCTTAGGAGTAAGCTCGATAGAAACAGGATACTGTTCAATGTGTTAATGCTATACTAAATCGGAGAGGGAGTATTCGACATACATCGGTAACAGCCTTTTCTCCAATAGTAGTCCAAAGCTGCTTCCCCTCCACGGTTGGTGTGAATTTTTGATACACGAAAAGGGTGTCAAACAACGCCGTGTCAGAACCGGCAATGCGTTGAAGTTTGGATAAAGGAACATGCTGGCCCTTAATAAGAAGCGAATTAAGTCTCATTATTGCCTGGACGAGCTGTTTGTTACTACCCTCGACAATGTAGCAAGATGGAAGGGTTGTAAGGCAGGGAAAAATGGCGTTTTGAGCGTCACCGGGCATGCCTCGACCAGAAAGGACGACTCCATATGTTATATCGCTTTCTCCTATATAGGAGGCCAGTAGCCGTGCCCACGCGGCTTGCCCAACAGCCTGCAAAGTGACCTCAGACTCGGCACAGCCCTTGTAGATGGAAGATAATGACTTTGAACAAAGCTTAGTGAGCGTGCGTATCTCTCTTTTGTCTGTGCGTCGAGGATTTAGATCAGGGAACTTCGTAACTGGCATGTCTCTGCAGAGTTCGTCCCATACGTTCTCCGTATTTTCAACCTCCCGGGCATTTTTAGCCACGATTGATGCCAGCACAGGGGATATTGGCACTGGTTCTGGAAGGGGATCGCCGTTGTAGAACCTAGAAACCTCCGATAGAATGAGATTCAACGAATGTGCATCGTACAGAGCGTGAAGTGCAGAAAAGTGAACAATCGTATGGGTCGACAATGTTTGCACTGTTAAAAACCAAGGTGGACGGTGAAGTTGGTCCAAGGCATCCGTGCCGTTCGGCTTGTCATAATTCTTTACCAAATCATATCCGTCTCCGGATGGGTGGTCATGCCAGGGAAGATCAAGAATACCGGGCTTATATGTGACCATTGCAAATGGAAACATTTCATCTTTTGACATGACAAAAGCCAGTCCTGAGCATATCGTTTCTATTGACAACAACTTGCCACGCGTCTTTCAGGGCGCCGATGTCTAATGGGCCTGTTGACCGGAGACACAAGTGGTTGAAATAAAGACTGCCTTTCGAATTTACGAACAACGCCAGCATACCGGTCTGAACTGTTGTACATGGGCGTACTGATTGAATGTCAGTATCAGAGTGATTGCCTATCTCCTGACAAACGGAAGCCAAATGGCGAGTTTGAAAAGCCTCGATATCGAATAGTTCGTGATTGTCAAATACTCCGTTTGCCACTAATCGTTTGCATCGAGATGCAATCTGGGCTATTGTAGGAGCCTAATAGGAGTCAGTATCCTTCCGCGTGGATTTATCAAGGCAGTTGTTCATACCTCTAGTAGGTCACCTGCCGCAATATCGTAGCCTCTTGTTCGCAGATTGGAGGCAATCTGTATGGCATTGATGCTATCAAGACCTAATTTATATATCGTTGTCGTAGGTTTGATATTTTTCGGGTCGATTCTCGCCAGGGCTGCCACTAGTTTCCTAACTTCCAATGCTTCATTTGACCACTCCAAAGGTTCATCAGCGATAGTTTGTTTCTCGGCCACTGGCATTGAAATGCTGAGAAATGTAGGAACACCGCCTTCCAACATGCTAATATCAGTAGTTCTGGCATGTGGATATTGGAGAATGTGACGAATAGAGTCCATATATCCCTCCAACATTTGACTTAAACCGTCCTTTGGAACATGTGGCCCGTTGCAGTAAAGATGTAGTTGAAGGATATCCTTGTCGGAGTCCGGAACGATTTCACAAATAAACGGAAAATCCATATTTCCAGATTCGTCAACTAATTTCCATATCTCCTTGTTTAACTGTTGGGGGCTTCTCTGAAGGAGCAAGAGACTATCGAATAGCCGCGAGCCATTGGGACTGAAACGGGACTGTAGTCGACGTAAAGATGTAAGTTGGTATGGAAGCATATCCGCCTTAGATTTTCGCAGTTGGAGCATAAGGTCACAATTGACAGTATTCCTGTCTAGCTTCACCCTCAAGGGGAGAGTATTAAAACATGGGCCGATAATACGCTCCGCTTCATCGACTGGTAGGGTCCTACAGCTAGACACGTCTCCAAAGCAAATGTCAGATGATCCGGAGTAGGAAAACATCAATTTTGCCCACGCGGCTTGTAATAGGCTGAGAAGAGTAACAGATGCTGTCTTGCACGAGTCCATCACTCGAGAAAGTGGAATATCCAAACAAGTGGTACAGGTATTGGGCCTCGTCGGCTCCATATTCGGCGCTGGGGCAACTAGGTAAGTGGGAGAAAATCCTGACAGATAACTGCCCCAGAATTGATCTTCTGCTTCGATATCCGCCTGGGCCATCTGCTCAATGTAAAGGACGAAAGGTACGACAGACGGCAATGGTAGCCCAAGAACAGCTTGCTCAACCTCTTGAAGCAACTGTGACATTGCTTCCCCATCATATAATGCATGGTGAATCAGCAAATGTAGTTCTGACTTCCCCGTGGTACTATTTTGAAGCTCTATGAAAGCATACGGCAAAGAGAATTTCGCAGCAGATAGAATGGATGTTTTTTGTCGTTCAACAACGGCGTCCACATCTGTACTTGGACATTCCACAGAGCTCCAGGGAAGTTCCGCACTATCCAACACAATTTGGGCAAATGCATACCGAGCGTCGTTTGTTGGCTGGAACCAAGTCCGCAAAATATCTTGCCGTGCGAGCATGGTCTCCCATGCTGATTTTAACTTCGCAATATTCCCCGATATTTCGAATGTGAGATGATTGAAATAGGAATTATGGTCGTTGGCTATCACTTGTGATAGCATAGCTTCCTGCAAAGGAGTGCACGGCAAGATCTTTCGTATTGTCCTCTGTAACTGTTTTGCATCGCGTTTGATTTGCGAAATAAATTCAGGCGGGAATAATGCTTCGAAATCAGAATCTTGTTCCTGATTCGTGACTCCGGTGTTATCGCGGTGATTGATTGCAGCAGCGAGGCGGGAAACCGTGTCATTTTTCAAAATGACCGAGATATCCACTTGACCCAGTCCAGCCAGCTTTAACTGTCTCGATAAAGATATCACCAGGATTGAATCTATGCCTAGACGGTAGAATGAGGTGTGACATCCGATATTGGCTACCGAAATTTGCGTGACAGTAGCGACTGCATCCGCAATTTTTGACTCTGTCTCTGAAAGTTCTTCGGTGTTGCTGTGTATCTCAGCATTATTGGCAAAAAGATCTAAATATTCAGGGGTAGCCTCAGAGACGAAGTTGGCCAAAACCTGCTTGTCGACCTTTCCGTTCGCCGTCATGGGAAGCGTTTCGAGAAGGAAAATGAAGGATGGAACCATATATGCCGGGAGAAGTTTTGTAACAGTGTCGAACAATGTTTTACTGAATATCGATAACCGATTGAGGTCCGAGTGCATATTGTCTGTTGTCGGAACGCAAAAGGAAACTAGATGTTGACCACCACTTGCAGTATCTGCATAAAGTAAAGTCGCACAACTGTTGACGTTTCGACCCTTGAGAATCGCGCTGTTGACCTCTCCGAGCTCAATTCTTTGGCCTCTGAGCTTCACAAGATCATCCCGCCGGCCTACAAACGCAAGCGAACCATCAGGAAGCATCCGACCATAATCTCCAGAACGGTATATTCTACCATACTCTGGATGTTCAACGAATTTTTCCCGTGTGAGATCCTGCATATTCAAATAGCCCAAGCCCTGATATTCAATTAGCATGTGTACTAGTAGCTGGTAGTCGATGGGCCACCGACAACTTGAGTTCCACCAAAACACAGCTCTCCAACTGCTCCGCGGGGCACTGGGATAAAGGCATTCTTTTCAGAAACTACAAAAGCAGAAGTGCTCTTTAATGGCTTGCCGATGTTACTTAGAAAATCTGTGGGCTTTACGCGGGGCCGCACCGTGCATATATTCGTCGTTTCGCAAGGGCCATAACCTAGATTCACGGCTACGATTAAATCGAGAATGCTATGAAAGAAAGAATTAAACGCACCTTGATAAACTCCAACATCGGCCCACTCTTTAGCCACGTTGGCCGTTAATGCTTCTCCTCCGGTAACTAGAAATCGGACTTTGGGCACATTCCGCGGCCGAATAAGTGAAGCGACCGTTGGGGTAAGACATAAATGTGTTATTTGGAATAGTCGAATAGCCCCTTCAATGTCTCGAAAAAGTATATCGTTCGTCGCGGAGCATAAAGTCATTCCCATTGCCCAAGAAAAAAATATTTCAAAGACAGAAACTAGTCTATGTCAGCCATGGTCTTCGTAACGTAGGAAATACCCGCACTGACCGTCGAAAGCGTGAGAGGAGCCTTGGAGCACCTTTGAACCAGGTGAAGTCGGGTAGAGTTCAGATAAAACAGCAATATTTTGCTGCATATTATCGTGGGAAATCAGAACACCCTTTGGTACGCCCGTGCTACCAGAGGTAAAAATCGCATACGCAACGGATGGCTCCCTTTCGGGCCGAGAAAGAAGAGGAGTTTTACATTCGCGCAACAGGCATCCATCGGGGTCAAGAACCACCATGTCATTTTCTAAGGTCAAGAGGGGTAAAAGATCAGTGCTGCTAATGCAAACGCGACAGTCGGCGTCGGAAATAATCTTTTGAACTCTCTGAATTGGAGTTTGAGGGGTTATTGGTACATAACCAGCTCCAGCCTTGATGATAGCGAGGATGGTGGTATAGAGTCCAAGCGATTTCTCTAGAAAAACCGAAACGAGAGATCCCGGCCCTATTCCAAAGGAGCATAGTTGCTTTGCGAGTATATCAGAGTGTTCATTCACATCGGACAGGTGAGGCTGTGGATGCTGACGACATCACTATCAAGTCAAGGTCTCGAGTACTCGACTGCGACTCTCTCAGGGTCGAGAGTGCAATACTTACGCATCGAAGTCCACTAGCTGAGATACTTGTGAGCGATATTTCTCCGATGAGCGATGATGTCGTGTGTGACTACTCAGACTCAGTGCGATCGCGTATGAAAGTGGCGGCCAGCTCCTTTATTTGGAGAAGTAATATATCGACCTGGGTCACTGGCAGAACTGATTCCTGGAAAGTAGCTTTCACGATAATAGTGTTGTCCTTTATCTCGATTTCCAAGGTTAAACAAAGCTCTAGAAAGTCCTGAGATGCTATTTGTTTGACAGTGTTCGAGGTTGCATTTTCATTGATCGTATCCTGCCACACGATCAGTGTGTCAAAAAGCGGCGTGCTTGGGTCAACACCCGATACTGCTTTGATATCACGGAGAGGTAGCAACCCGTGAATAAGAGCTTTTCTGTTGATATTGTGAATAGTGGCAAGCAAGTCCTGCACGTTCCGCAGATCCTCCATGTTAATCCGGACTGGGAGTGTACTAATGCAGGGTCCAACCATATCTTCGATGCCTTGCACAGGAATCGTGCGACCCGAGGATACAGAGCCGAAAATAATATCTGACGTACCATGATATTCTCCGAGCAAATATCCCAACGCCCCCTGGAAGACTGTCTGGCGACTGACACGAAGCTCTCGAACCACAGTGTCGAGATCGTTGATAGCAATGTTGAGTGTACGACTGATTGTAGACAATTTGCGAGGAATGTCGTTGTGGTTTTGGAAATTTGGCCATGCTAAAGGCGCAACTCCTCGAAGAAGATCACGCCAGTAATCAGCAGCATCTAACCTGTCCTGCGATTCAAGGAACCTGTAAACAAAGTTGACAAACTCCCGGTATTGTGGACGCTGTTTAGGTGGTTTCTTCTCCAGTGAAGTCTCGAGATCATGCATGATGTGTTCCCACGACCACCCATCGTAAAGAGCATGGTGGATGCAGACGAGAGCCCTTACTGAGCTGGGACAAACTTTGAGTTGGACCTGTAGAGGGCTTAACATTTGAAGAGGACTTTCAAATGCGACTCCATAGCAAAATGTGTCGTATTCAGCAAAAACAGACTCATTAAGACTTTTCCAAATAACTTGTGTATAGGTATGTCCAGGTATGTTAACTTGGACAAATCCCGATCGAAGAATCTCATTTTGTTCCGCAAGGAAGCAAAAGGCCTCGCGTATTTCGCTTAACTGTATGTTTTGGTTGAATTCTATTTCAATCCAATTTGAATACGCCTCTTTATTTTTCATAGACTCGGCGATCATAGAGACTTGCACTGGGCTGCAAGGAACCACATATTGAGGCTTTGAGGAGATCCCCATTGAAAGAAGGGCCGCAGACGTAGCGTCAACCACAGAACCCCATGAAGTGAAAATAGGGGCAGATGGAGCGGCAACATTTTCTTGAGCGAGATTTCCCTCCACAGCCTTCGCTATTTCTTGAACCGAATCAACCCTGAGAATGCTGTTAACGTCAATATTTATGCCCAGGGTCCGCAATTCGGAGGCTAGCCGTATAGCTTTAAGGGAGTCAAACCCCAGGGCGACCAAGCTTCCAGAAGAGTCAATCGGTGTGTTTAAAATGCTCCCAACACAAGCAGAAATTTTTCTTTCAGTTTCAGAGTTACGAGACGAGATATCAGGCCTTCCGAGTTCCCTTGAGTTAACATAGATGTTTTCCAGAGCCTGCCTGTCAACTTTACCAGATGGAAGCCGCGGCAATTCGTCCATATGGATAATATCGCTAGGAACCATGAATCTCGGGAGCCAGGTTTCGCAAACTCGTCGTACAGTTTCTGGGCCCAAGTTAACATCTTGTGACACGAAAGCAACAAGGATCCCGTTAATGACACATGCGACGGTGTTTCTGACGCCAGGCGCTTTAAAAATGGTGCTTTCAACTTCGCCTAGTTCCATGCGTTGCCCCCTAAGCTTTACCTGGCCAGAGGATATTCTTCCAAGACATTCAAACTCCCCGCTAGGGTGCAGGCGAGCCCTATCGCCAGTTCGATAGAGGCGGCCATAAACTTGACTTTCAATGAAGGCTTTGTGGTTTTCTTCTGGGCGGTTGAGATAACCGTTTGCAAGCTGAGGCCCCCCAATGACAAGCTCCCCAATGCAGCCAATAGGAAGAATATCCGGTTCTCCATCGACCGACTCCTGTATTGGAATGATAAAGGCAGAAACAGATCTGAAAGGAACTCCAATGTTTCCTGCGCGAGAGTCAGAGGGGAGTTTTGGAGCGACCGTGCAATGAATTGCCGTTTCCGTGGGGCCATACATGGCAAAGAGGATGCCATCATCTATGCCAGTAAAGCCGAATTCATCGATAACCCGCCTCGTTAACATTTCGCCAATCGTAAGCAAGACCCTTAGAGAAGGCACGTTGCTCTTACGACGCAGTAATTCTCCAGCAACGGTGGGCGTAAGCTCAGCACCGTCAACTTTGAGGTGGTTCATGACTCCAACCAAATCATTTAGCATCAGGCTACGCTCGCAAGCAACCAAAGTAGCGCCTCTAAACAGGGGGAAAAAGATCTCAAATACCGAAACATCAAAGGTCGGCGCGGCAAACTGAAGAAACCTTCTGAAATGTGGTATTTCATCATCATGTGCAAGAAGCGATTGTGTCACAGCACGATGAGAAAGGCCAACTCCTTTCGGTAGTCCGGTAGAGCCTGACGTATACATAATGTATGCGAGGCTTTCAGGACATATTTGCGCATCTGTTTGCGTCGCTTGAAGTACGGTGTCGTTCGAATTGTCGTCAACGGCAATGATGGTCAGAGTCTTATCGACTTGAGAGAATCTTCCCATCAAGCTTTTCACAGTGATGACAACATCTGCAGAAACATCCTTGACAATAAACGCAATGCGTTCTGAAGGGGCGTCTATATTTAAAGGGCAAACGGTGGCCCCAGCTTTCAGAATGCCCAGCCAGGAAACATACAGATCTAGGGACTGGGGAATCAGGACGGGAACGACAGGATTTGAGCTCGACCTGGTGCCTACAGCCTCTGAGATGCGCAAGGATAAGCGTAACGAGTAGGCATGAAGTTGCTCATAAGTAAGAGTATGGGTTTGCCATTCCTTGTCAAGAAACTCTAGTGCCAAATCTGGACATGGGCTTGTCTCCTTGACCATGTCATGCAAAAGCAGCGGGCCTGGAATCGATCGTGGCTCTGCATTAACGACAGATCGCTGTAAAACGGTGTTGTCGCAGGGAAGCTTGCAGGCCTTGCGGATATTGGTTTCCAGGTGGCCTCCGATCTGCAAAAGGTACTCTGCGGGAATAGAGCCTGACGATACAATAGTACCGCTGCTTTCTTCTAAGGAGCATCTTACCTGGAGGATGCAATCATGTGGGAGCTCAGTAGACTATGTTTCGAATCAGTAGAACGCAGGCATTCGTGGGGCAGAATGCTTACGCCAACGGTTGATATTCCCGTGTACCCTGTCTTGCCGGGGCTGCATGTTGTTGCTTTCTGAAGGGACCTCTGTTCCGGGCCAACCTTTATTGGCTCTCCATCGAGATTGAAAACAAGGACCTCCTCGCCCGTAAGGGCTCTCAGAACCCCAGCCCACGAATGAACTAGCACGTCCAAACTCAGGCTTGGAGTTCCACAATTCCAATCGACCTGGGTGAATCTGGGAATACACCGTTCGGCATAATCGAGCTCCGGAAATGCGGTGTACACGTCTCTAGGATGGTTGTCCATGGTTTGAAGGCGGAGGCATGACCGACGTGAAAGCGGGATTTCTCACAACCTTTTGGCAAACGAACACCGCCAACGACGGGGAGGATCCAGACAATTTGTAGGTCGCGAGGAAAAGAGAGAATCCCACCGGGCAGTCAGCCTCGCTAGGAAGAACCTTTTGAGGTAGAAAAAGTAATCATGGTGAAAAAAAATCACACAATGATGGCATCCATATTTCTCCGTGTTCGGCCTCGAGAGATAACTCCCCGCTTTCACTAGCAAGGCGAGGACAGGGGAGGAACGGGGCCCAAGGCGTTCAGAGTGCTTAGTGAAGGCGAGAACCCGGCAGACCCTCCGGCCTTGCTATTAATAATGATTGAGCATTTCACCTGTGTGCGGCAGCTCTGGTTATTGTCGTGATCGCATGGGGCGTGTGGAGCACATTGAATGGTTGTCCGTCGAGATTGCACCTGACCGAAGCAGCGGGATGGCTGGGCACCCGACACCAGCCGAAGGGGCACCACCGTGTCGTCGAGGGCTCTTCACGGTGCTTTATGGAGTCATTAATTCAAGAATATTAGTAGCACAGCAACATTGTGTTCGTGAACCAACTTGTAATGGTGCTTGGGTTGATGGGCACGGTCTTTTCGCCGAGTTGCAGAGGCCTCCTTTTGTCAAAAGTCGCTCGATTCTGGAGGTATTCAAAAAGCTAACTTGCAGTTATAGATGACTTTGATCTGATGTGCAGAGTACAGTAAACCCACTCTGAACAGAATGAAAGGGCCACAGATGCGAGTTGAATGAGTAAAGTCAGCTCAAGGACAAAGAAGCTAAAAAAAACACTTGTTTCTAGTTATGTTAGTTAGTTAGTTAATCCCGAGCCATCCTCAAGCAATATCAATCTCAAATGGAGGTATTAATTCTTATGGGCAAAAAATAGCAGTAAGAAAATACATATCACAGCCGATCCTTGCAGGATTGGCCCCTTGTTCAAAATTGGTCAGCTTGTGATCTAGTTACAGTGTAAGAATCGGACCAGCACCTGGGAAGCCCGGGATGCTCGCTTGTATGACGTCGCTTGGAGGTTTGTGCTTCAGAGACAGCCCGGATATCCAAACACCGAGACAGATATCTCTCAGCCATTATTAATCGTCCAATTCATAGCGGAGGAGAGAAAAGACGCCGTCAATAGTATTTAATAACTGTCTGCATGCCCCGTTGAAGCAATCATCACAAGATTCAAAACACACCTACTTTCATCTAGCCTTGAGAAGCAACGCAGAATTATATATAGCAATCATGTCTTGCTCAGATCCCATAGCAGAATACGGCTTCTCCGCCGTCGAAGCATCAGCAACAAAGCTCCTATCCTCGTCTGCTCCTTCGCATCCCGCCGCATTCATCCCCCTTTCCGAAACACCTATCCCTGACACGCCCCTGGCGGCACGCATCAACACCTACGCCAAATCCAAGCTGCCGGAACCAACATACAATCATTCCCTGCGTGTATATCACTTCGGCTTGGCCATAAAGAGATATCGCTTTCCAGAATGGAAGTTTACAGATGAAACATATTTCCTGGCCTGTCTTCTGCACGACATCGGCACGACGGATGAGAATCTGAACGGGACGAAGATGAGCTTTGAATTCTATGGCGGGTTTCTGGCGTTGGATGTTTTGCAAACGGATGGAGATGGAGAGGCGGTGGCGTCTAGGGATCAAGCGGAAAGCGTGGCGGAAGCGATTATTAGGCATCAAGATCTATGTGAGGTTGGGACCATCACTGCTGTGGGACAGTTGCTGCAGTTGGCCACTATTTTTGGTTAGTTTGGGTCGTTCCCTATGCACGGCTGTGCGAACACGCTACTAATGGATCCTATTTAGATAACACGGGTGCATATCCAGACCTGGTGCACCGATCTACTATCGAAGATGTATCCAAGCGATTTCCGCGTCTTGCCTGGAGCCAGTGCTTCGCATCAACCATTCGGCGGGAAAACGATCGAAAACCCTGGGCGCATACCACAGCTTTGGGCGTGGAGGAGTTTCCTTCCAAGGTACTGGGGAACAAACTCATGGCACCTTATGAATAGGTTGGACACGAGAATCCTATTTGTATAGCTCACTCACAATTCAATTATTTCTGGATTTAGCGTAATACTTTTTGTTCCAGCTCTTCCCATTTCAATAATTCAGCCTCAATGTGCCGGTTTCGCTTGCGAATGACTTCGCGGGTGCCGGCTTCGCTGCCTTGATGTGCCATAATACACTGTGATCTCCAAAACCCATACTCGGGCCGAAATGCCGGCGGGCCAGAGTCAACGGATTCCGCCACATAGATATCGTAATTACACAGCTGCCATATGCGGAGCTGCAATGCAAAGCCCTGGTTGGGCTTGATGATCGGTCTAGATTCTCGAGCCATGGCAAGCGCATCGAAGTAGGATAGAGCACGGTATCTCATTACTTGCCCGCCACACTAAAAGTTAGCATGACCCCATTAATAACTCGGCATTTTTTGGCTTAGTACTCACAATATGCGACAATAATCGCCCCAGATCGTGAAATGCCCTGGATACAATGAACCAGCACGCCAACCGGCCTCTGCAAATCTGCCTGAGTGGATCCTTCTTGCAAAGCAGCATGAACCCAGTCACAAGCCTCCTTGAGATAGTGAATAATATCTTGCAAGGGATGATCGTCGATGTCAAGGTGCTTTATGGATATCATTGCTCTGGTTGCTTCGTCCCAAGCTGGCAGGTCGTGTTCGCAAGTGGCGGACAGCACATATTTGATGTTGTGAGATTCGAGTAGAGCTCGTGAACGAGCTCCAAAGCGGCTGTCCAGTGCGAATTAGCAAGTATCTATACCTCAAGAGGGAGGTGTGCTCACTCTGATATGTAAAGACCAGGGACCCCCGCAATGGGACAAAGTTCGGCTCCTTTCATACCGTCCATTTTTTAAGGATCAGTTTTGGGTATTGAACAAAGTAATAGTTGCCGCGAATCGAGCTTCTCCAGAGCCATGAGCAATTTATGTGTTTTGTCAAAGGCTGAATGCCCTATTATAGTAATCAAAAGAATGTAGTTGCCTTCTAGGCCTCGTTTATAGGCATAGCCTCGTGATATGAAGAACGCCAGGATATACCAAGAAGCATCTTGGACTTTTCCGGGCAAATCTTAGTTGGTTGTCGACCATCCTCAACCGGGATCTTGAAACATGGATTGAATTAATGTCCGTTGAAAAAAGTAGACGCGGTTGACGCTGCCAGCAAAGCAATTGTCTCTGCACCAAAGGCCTTCGGAGATAAAAGCGAGATGGGTGTTAACCCCGCGATTAGTTAGCACTTCCAAGCTCAACCTCCAGCATCACGAAGCAACTTCAGGCCTTCAGACACCGGCAATCTACTTAATTGTCAATCTATCCCGTCCCAATTTCGATCCATCAAAACAAAATCTCACTTCTGTCACTCCCGCGTTCGCCTACCTTCCCATTCCCACACCATGGCAACGCGGAAACGCTCATCCTCCCAGCAAGAGACCACACTTGGCGACCATAGCAGCGACGACCGCCATCAAAGAAAGAAGATAAAGCCCACAGGACAGTCGTCCAAATCAATTGAGCCCAAGACAGACTCAAATGGCGACCCATACTGGGAGATTTCGCGTCAAAGACGCGTAACTGTCTCGTCGTTCAAAGGCAGAACCATGATCAATGTCCGAGAGTACTACGAGAAGGGCGGGCAGGACCTGCCTGGGAAAAAGGTAAGCTTGTTGCTTTATTCCTGTGTACCAGGGCCTGCTTCTTTGGAAGGGTTTATGCTAATGGCTGATCAATTTTGCGGTGGATGTGTAGGGAATTTCTATGACTTTGGAACAGTTCAATGCCCTTGTCGCGTTGTTGCCCAACCTTGAAGAGGTGGTGAAGCAGAAAGGAGGTACAATCACTAGACCAGAGTACGGTGATGAGGGCGACAACGATGCCGACGAGGCTGACCAGGAGATGGAAGAAGAGGAGGGACAGGCGACAAAAAGAAATAAAGTCTCGCCAGAGAAGAATATTGAAGCCACGAGTGATGAGAGCGAGGAAGAAGATTGATCTTCTCCATATCCCAAAACCTCCATATTTTTTTCGAAGCGTCGTTGATTCTGGACGTTGAATTTCCAACATTGGGCTTTACGGTGTTTATTGGGTTAAAGGGTAATAGGACAAAAGGAATTGGATCAGTGGTCATTGAAGACGGTAAACCAAGTGTATATTTACGCTTTACTTCTCCTAACACTATAGTGCAATATCTAGCCACATCACATGCTGGCTTCCTGCGTTTCAATCCGACTTGCCAGAGACCCTCCCTTCCACGCGTGTCGCGGGTCCTGATCCTTTCGGACCGCTTTCTCTGATCCAGCTTTCCCCCATCCGCCGCCTCCAGGGGTTTTCACAATGATTCTCTCTCCCGGCTGCATTTCCGCGGTATTTTTCGCGCCCAAATTTACATATCTTTCTTCCCATTTGTCCGGATCCTCTTTGCTGGCGACTTTCCGAACCCATATATTTTGACCGCATTGAGCATCTCCACCCCCGCTGAGGCCATAGGGATGGTAAACTCTTCGCTCCGAAAGAATGGATACTTGGACCGGGATTCTGAATTCAATATCTCGGATCACACCGTCGCCTCCACAGTGTTGGCCTTTTCCCCCGGATCCTGGTCTCAAGCTAAATTCCCGGAGGAGGACCGGGTATCGGCGCTCAAAGACTTCGGCGTCTGTGATGCGAGTGTTGGTCATGTGTGTGTGAACGCCTGATGTACCTTCCCAGTCGGGCCCGGCGCCGCTTCCACCTGCAATGGTTTCATAATAGCCAAATCCCTTGGTGGCTTCTCCGCCGTTGAGATTACCACCAAAACCGAACGTCAAGTTATTTGTGTCGCCTTGTGATGCTGCGCATGCTTGGAAACATTTCAGGATAACGTCTGTGACTCGTTGGCTCTGCTCAAGGACAAGCGTTAGCGCTCTGTGCTGCATGAGCGGCATATTATAGAGCAAGTGCCACAATCTTACCGTTAAAACATTGCCTCCAACAACAGCGGCCTTTCCGGAAGGCGAAAGGAATGAATTCTTCGGTATATTCACCTCAATAGGTTTTAAACAGCCTTGGTTGAGAGGTATATCCTCCGAAATCAGACACCTCAGACAATATATTATAGCAGAATAAGTAACGGCTTCGGGAGCATTGATATTTCCTTTGGCAAAGTTAACATCCATCCCGTATGGTCCACCTGGAATCTAACTTACCGTAAACCTCTGGACCAGTCCCTTCAAAATCAAATACCGCTCGGCCATCTTCGGCATCAATAGATATCTTGAGCTGGATAGGACTTCCATCGTCCATATAGTCGATGGCAGTCAGATCAGCTCCTTCAAACCTCTTGCTGACTGTTTTCAGCAGGTTACGAACGCTCAGTTCGGCGTTCTTTTGAATACTTCTCATATAGAACTGCACTACATCCTCCCCATAATCTGCAATTAAAGCAGAGATCAAACTGATTCCCTTTTGATTTGCAGCAACCTGAGCTTTAAGGTCGTTCAGGTTATCAGCGAGACATCGCGTTCCACTGCAGCCTGGATACTGTGCAGGTTCGTGATACAAAAGTTCCGTGATGCGTTCTTCGTTGAATTTGCCTTCAGATACAAGCTTTTCGGATTTGATCGCCGCCCCCTCTTGATACAATTCCCTAGAATGTGGCGGCATGGACCCTGGGAGAATACCTCCGATATCCGCTTTTATCTGGTATAAGCAAAGGAATACAAGGAAAACAAGAAGGGCTAGTTATACATACCGTGGTGAGCCCTTGAGGCAACGTAAAAGATGATCTCATCCCCGTTGAAAGCGGGCGTGATCACCGTGATATCAGGAAGATGAGTGCCTCCGAATTCCGGGTGATTGGAAACAATGACATCGCCAGGCTTCAATTTTCCTTTCCAAATATTTGCTTGCGTGCGCACACAGGTGGACATGCTTCCAAGGTGGACGGGCAGATGTGGAGCATTGGCAACAAGTCCTCCATCTGAATCAAACAAGGCACAGGAATAATCTAGCCGTTCTTTAACATTTGTGCTAACACTGGTCTTTTGCAGTGCTCTGCCCATTTGCTCTGCGATTGCCATAAACCGATGGGAAAAGACACTCAGTAGGATTGGATCCAGTTGGGTCGCACTTGATTTGGAATCGGCGCCTTCTGAGGAGCCAATGTTGATGACAACATGAGTCTTGAGAATTAAAGCAGTGGCACCAGGTGTGATCACCAGCGTTTGTGTTCCATCAGCGAGAATGGCAGGGCCGCAGACGCGGTCATTGACTTCCAGGGCTTCAAGCTTGAAAATTGGGGTTTGGCGGCGTCCTCCTTCGAAATATACCTGTTTAGTGCTATACTGCTTGGAGGAATCTACGTCCCTCGGCTTCAAGTCTTGTAACTGCTCATCCACACTCTTTCCAAGGTCATCAAAACTTTTACCAATGGCTCGAACGCGGATGTCATCAACGATGATATCCCGGTCTGGGAGGGTAAATCCAAATTCCTGTTCATGCTGTTGGATGAATGCGTCTCCATACGCCCAATCATCGTCTCCTTTAATATCCTTTTGATCTGGTTTGATAATCATCAATGCTGACTCAGTTCCTCTGTATCGCATATTCAAGTACTCTTCAAAGACAATCGATTCGTCTTTGAAGCCTTGATCCTTCAGTCTTTCAACAGCTTTCTTTTTCAATTCGCCCATCTTGCCCCTAAGCTCCTTTCGCACGGTTTCATCATCGGACCATACTTTGGATTCTGGAACCTGACTCTCGTCCACAACATCGGCTAGGGCCATGCCGTATGCCGACAAAACTGACGAGTAACGATGCACCAAAATTTGCTTGATGCCGAGACTGTTCGCAATGGCAACCGCATGTTGGCCGCCTGCGCCACCAAATGTTGCAAGGCGATGCTTTGAAGCATCGTGCCCTTTAGCCTCTGTGAGCGACCGAATGGGCCGCGCCATTGTTTCGTTGGCAACTTTGATAAAGCCGTATGCTACCTCATCCGGGGTCATTTTTGTCCCAGAGGCTTCAGCATTGATTTTGGCCGTGATCTCTTCAAATAGTTGCCTGCTAACTTCCTCATCGAGACCTTCGTTCTCATTCTTGCCGAAGATTTTTGGGAAGAAATCTGGTAGCAACCGGCCAAGGAACAGATTCGCATCCGTGACCGTCAGCGGACCTCCTTTTCTATAGCAGGCAGGGCCTGGATGTGCGCCGGCAGATTCTGGACCGACGACGAATAGTCCGTTGCGATAAAAGAGGCGTGAACCTCCTCCGGCGGCAACAGTGTTGATATCCAGCTGGGGAGACTGTATTGTGACCCCTGCAGTGGTGGTTTCAAAGACATGTTCATATCGACCGGAACCATAGCGGCTGACGTCGGTACTTGTACCGCCCATGTCAAACCCGATGACTGGAATGTCGGTTTTCGGATCATAGCTGGTCAGCGCATAACCTACTACTCCACCAGCGGGGCCTGACAAGATCGCACGTAAACCCGAAAACTCGCTTACGTCGACCAGGCCGCCATCAGACTGCATGAATTCGCAGCGGGCTGCTTCAGATGCCGAGCTTTCCTTGACACTCTGGACACCTAACCCACCGGCAAAGCCCGCTTGAAAACTTGAGATATATTTTTTGATCGTGGGCGTCAGGTAGGCATCGGCACACGCAGAGGTAGCTCGAGGAACCAATTTGATCATGGGCATCAATTCATGACTTAAACTGACATGAGTGAATCCAATTTCCCTGGCGACCTTGCCCACAAGAGCTTCATGGTCTGGGAAGGTATAGCCGTGAATTAAACACACGGCAATGCTCCTAAAGCCATCGCGGTAGAGGCCCTGAAGCTGCTTCCTTACGGTGTCTTCGGAAGGCCTCTGTAGAATCCTGACTGCTTCTGAGGATAAGCCACGCACGATTTCGGCCCCGTCAGGAGCCTGGTCCCGCGGAACGGCAGCGGTTGTATGCCTGGTGGGATCCTCTGTGTAGTCTTCCAGCGTCACTCTTTCGTCAATCTCAATCACCTTTTCGTAGAGCACATCCGGCCGCCGGATGGCCAGGTCAAAGATCTTGGGCCGTGACTGGTTTCCAATCTGAAGACAGTCCTTGAATCCTTTGGTGACGACCACGGCCATGCGCTCACCCTTTCGCTCCAGGAGAGCATTGGTGGCGACGGTTGTTCCCATGCGGATGCTTTCGATCTTGGACGTATCGATTGGCTCGCCGCGGGGGATTTCCCGGCGCTCGAACTTGGAGAGCAGGCGGCGGATGCCCTCGAGCGGCGCATCGGCATAGTTGGACGGATCTTCAGAGAGCAGCTTGATGATGATATCGTCTTCCATGCGCCCGGTGCCGGGATTGCCTACACAATCCGTGAAGGTGCCGCCTCGCTACGCATTCTCAGCATCAGAGGGAGATGATCACTGCAGGCCATTGAAACAACAGAGAGAAAGGCCACTCACGTCGATGGCGATGCGGATGCCATTTCCTTGCCTTGGAGCCATGGGGGGCGAGGGAGGATGAAACAGAGAAGCCGATCACAGCAAAGGGAGCATTCTGCTTGATGGACATCGAAACTGGCGGGACTGTAGAGGAGATGAACAGGACGGCGATGCGAGGAGGGGCGTGTTGGCGATGCTGCATCTTCCCCACCCCCAGCACCGTCCAACATCCGGGCTGCCGGCCGCTGGCTACGGGCGTGAAGGCAGAGCAGACGGCAGGGTGGATAGTGATTTCAAAGCAATTGTATTCCTCGTCCTTCGCTGGGCTTCCATCCGGCATCCCTAACTAGTCAACTACACGCCTCTATGAGTGACTATCTACAACATCCCAACACGGCCCCAAGCACACTGCGTCCGGCCCGGCATCGACCGCCATGGTGTGTCTCCCTGGAGGACTCTCGTCCCATCCTGTCCCCAGAGCACGACGAGGGCATCCTGGCGGGTTGGACGCTGCGATGCCCGGTCACTCGAAGCTGTGCGTGTCTGCTTGGCGCTCGCCCTCCACCATCCCTTCATGAAGCTAGTTAACTAACTAGTTAGCTAGTCACCGACTAAACTAGTCGCCTCGCTCCCCCGGCTGCAAGGGATTCTTCGAGACCAGAGCAGCGACCTCTCGACTTTGCCTCTGCAGGTCCCGTTCGCTTCCAACCACAGAGAGTCTGCCGTCATCGCATCGAAGTGCCCGCCTTCGTGACGGCGTCTCTCCTCGCCTGGTGTGTATCACCGCGTTTCAGCGATCGGCACCTGGATTCTCCCAAACGAGACCCTTGCTCCCCTCGCTCGATAGTTGACGACCGTCAAAGAGTCCGCTTGAAGCTTCGACCCCGATTGAACCCCCCCAGCGCCCTCTGTCGTTCAGCTCCGTTACGACCGGAAGCCTCAGGAGGCCCGTCGTTTGAAGGACACTGCTCTACTACACATCTGGGATGACGGAAACCGGCCTTGACGGTGTGGAATGTTGATCGACTCAACGCATCCTCGAGGTCACTGCCCCCCTGGATCAGACACTTGGCATCTGCCGCTGGATTGTCGTCATCCATTCTATCTCGACTTTGATGCCGTGACGGAACTGAACGTCTCCGTGCTCCCTGTCTGATTCGAACAATCCCGCGAATGCTGCTTTGATCCGGTCGAGCACAGAAGCCTTGCTGTCGCCCTGAACGTTTTGACAATGCCCGTCGAACCGTCCGGGCTTCAATCCACGCTCACACTATCTCGCCCTCCACCAACCACCTCTCTAACAACACCGATATAGGCTACTCTGGCTCAGCACTTTTCATGTTGGACGAATATAACCATTGTCTTCGCTTTCCGCGCCCCCCTCGCTTTCAGAGTCCTAGGATTGTCCCACAGCGAGCCGTGTTAGCCTACGAATTTTTTTTCCATTTCGAGATGGACTCGGGAACTCGAGAACACAGACGGAGAGGCTCGTCGCAAAAGTCTATGCTCTCAAAAGCTCTCCAGAAAGCAAATACAGCCGTCCTTTTAGATAACGCGGCAAACTACGAGGGTGCTATAAGAGCATACTCCGATGCCTGCGACCTGCTTATGCAGGTCATGCGCCGCACGGAAAGCCGCGACGAAAAACGGAAACTTGAAGAAATTGTAAGTAATTTAGCATGCATTGCATTGACCTGACGCACGTCGGCTGATTCTGATGCTAATACTAGCGTACCACCTATACTACCCGCATCACGGAGCTCCGGCGACTCGGTGTTTCTTCGCGATCAGACGGAAAAGCGTTGCCAGAAAGACCCCTGAGCGATGAATCGACCTTGTCTCCTAGCGCGGTCTCGTTTCGATCGGAAATCCACGATGAATTGGACGAGGAGGAGCCGTATGTCATCGAAACCGCGACTGCAACCCGCATACTCAACAACCCGTCCTACATGACCGACCCTTCCGAACCGCGAGCTTTGGAGCCGTCGCAGATTCCCCCGCGACGACAGTCTCTACTGCCGTCAGCCTTTGATGATGAAGTTCGGTTCTGGAAGCCGAAAAAGCCAAGCCTGCTCCGTGCGGGCTCATCTAACAACCTTCCTACTTTGGACGAGCAATTAAACGAAGCTTCATCTACCGGTGACGCCCAGAGCAGCCGACTGCACCGCAGCCCATCTCGAGAACCACCTTTTCCACCCCGTACAGCAAGCCAACAGTCAGAACATCAACCTCAGGTACTCTCTAATTTACATTTAACGCCGGAATTTAATAACGGATCTACTTCCTGGTTGGATAACGGTGATTCGGCAGGCTCCTCAACTTCCTCCCTTCGTTCTCGGTCGTCCTCCCTCTATCTGCGAAAGAGAGACCGCACGGTAAGCGGAGGCACCGAAGCGGCTTTTGATGCTGCACTGGATGCAGCGGTAGAGGCGGCGTATAATGAAGGATTAGAACCAATTGATGATTCGGACGACATGTCAGCTGGCGATGATATTGTTTTAAATGTACGAAGAAACGTTGAACGAGCGAAACAAAAAGTCCGTGAGGCTGAATTGGAAGCCGAGGCCATTTCTGCTAAGGAGAGAGAAACCAGGCGCGTTCAAGAAGAAGCTTTCCACGGAAATTACACTGCCCTTGACGCAAATTATGAGGATGGCGAGGCTGAGGAAGAGGAGCTGATCTTGGAAGAAATGATGGACGTGTTTGAATTCAACTTGCAGTCCAAGTCAGCCCTTCCACGGCAATCTGGCTCGAGTGGATATTCAGGCCGAACCTGGGGAAGCTCAATTACATCCAATGCTGCAACTACTGGCACATCACTGTCTACCCTCGCTGAGGAAGACATTCTTCCATCGTCAGATGCCAAACTGATCAAGCCATTTTCTTCCTCTATGACTTTGCAATCCTCGCCTGTTAACACCCATCCACCGCCACCACCACCTCCACCTCCACCACCACCGCCTCTTGCCTCAATACCATCTTTCAAACTTCCCGATCTGCCCCCTCTCCCGACGCCCACGACATCAACTATCACGCCAAATACTCCCTTGACCCCTAGCGTACGGGCAAGGCGACTTTCCGGCCGTAACTTAAAAGATTTATCAATCGAAACGAATACCCCATTACCTCCAGGCATTGAAGCACCACTCACCGTCCCTACGTCAATGTCAACAGCCCACGCGCCGTCGTTACCGAAAGATGAACCACCGAAAACGAGTTTTATAGTTTTGTTGCAAGATAAGGAACCAAAATCTGCCCTTCCACTTGAAAGATTGAGATCTGGCCAAGCCGCTTCAAGATCGGTCGAGTCTCTCACAGCCCAAAGTCCCATGACCCCCTTCCCAGATTTTCAACGCCTCGGGGATAGAGATGAAGATACCGGGCCGACATCCACTCATCATACAGTGAGCAAAGTAGCGTCCGCTCCAGAGCCATTGAGAAACGATACCGTACCGTCCCCAGCTAAGTCTGCACGGGGTAAAAAACTGTCTCTCTCTACTGAAGACACTGGGAAGGGTTTGGATAGCCCTTTTATGTCGACATTTCCAGCCTCGGCTACTCGTAAAGGCCCACATACATCTGTCTCAACAGCAGCGAGTGGGTTTGGTATAGGGCCGCACCACCTCTTTGATGGTACCATTCATTCCCCCATGGCACCTGGACGGCCCAACTCGTCCGTTCCAAATGCCCCAACCGCCCTCGAACCTTGTCCTCAATCATTTCTACTACGCCCGTTCTGGCTAATGAGATGCATTTACCAAAGCATCGCTCACCCTCGGGGTGCGTATTTGACAACTAAACTCTTCATTCCAAGGGATGTCTGGCGAGTAAAGAACGTCAAAATCAAAGCCATGGAGGAGAAAATCTCAAATTGCGACTTACTCACAGCTGCACTGTTGAAGGTATCCCAAGTCGACACCAATGATGCTGATGCTGTCCTTGAAGAGATGCAATCTTTAGAGAATATTCTTGATCAAGTCCAGGCAGTCTGGTCCAAAAAGCTAGGTAATGAAGTCGGAGTCCAAGGTGCGACGAGCTTCTTGAAGGCTTCGTCATCAGATGACTCTTCACCGTTCAGCGAGCAACCCTCGAGAGCGGTAAGTGGTGGGAGCAAGTCTTATCTCTCCTCATGGCGAAAACTGCGGTCAAAGAGCTCAGGACCCAGCGGAGCGACGCCAACCCCTGGAGCGAAAGAGAGCAGCAAAGATAATTTTACTTTGAGCTCGTTACCGATGAATGATACCCTACATTTTCGTGTCCCGAAACGGAGCACTCAAGAATTGAAGTGCTCAGGCCCAAATGCGAACTATATGAATGCACTGGCGAGGTTGTGTGATGCCGCTCAAGTCATTGGTAATCCTTTTGCTCTCGTCGCATGTATATCATTTGCTAACCGCTGTGCATTTAGATCAAATCGCTCGACAAGTCGAGGATCCTGGCCTCAGACACTCATCTCAGACACTTGTTGGTTTAGAACTGTCTACTCGCCATGCTGCGGAATTTTTCAGTTTTTATGTTTGCCGGTTTGCCTTGAACGATATTGGATTGATGATAGACAAGTTCATCAAACGAGGGAGCGAATGGGTTTTGGTCTGATTTTATATCGCTTCTTGCCGAGTTTCCTTTTTTGTACCTGTTCCAGATCTTGGTTGCACTTCTTCTTGGTTACCTTATGGTTTAATTATCTGGAAGATAATATAATTTTGTATACACTAGATTGGGGAGCGGGAGATGACGTATGATTCTGAATATGAAGTTATGCCTGAGGATATGCTCATTTTTCTTGGTGGTGTAAATGATGAGTCAAGGACGGATTTCCTACCCGTAACAATTGAAGCGGGCAATGATATTATGAAAGCCATGAACTGCTCACCTGCAAGCACGGAATATGGAGTTAGTATCTTGCTATTAATCTAAAGCCTTAGTACTTCATCGAGCCTAGGAGTATAACCGTCCCTGGACCGGCTGTTCCACCAGCTCACTGCTAAAAGCACAGTGTCCCGTGCCATCAGCATACTGTTTAACAACACCCCATTGGAGTGGCTTCGCAGAAATATCCCCTTCTTCAGGTAAAGGATGACACCTTGCACTAATCACCAGACTACAAACCCCTGCCAAAAGGGTGCCAGAGCCGGACGTTCTCGCTCCTATGGAACATACTCCAACAACCAAGACACATGCCGCCACCAATACAAACACCAACGCAATAGCAGAATACCCAAAGACCGCTGTGCTATTATCCGCATTCTCCTTGCCGTCTTCGAGTGCCACAATCTTCGCGATGAAAAAGCTCTGGGATACCAGCCAGTGCAGCACCGTGGATACAAACACTAATGGAATGGCGTATCGATAGGGTAGTTGAAGAAAGTACGTCGACCGCTGCTCGCCTGCGGGCGAGGTGACTCGTAGCGGTTTTCTCTTGGAGGCAAAAGTACTCAGTTCCCTAGCAGTGAGCATGGCGGTCATGTTTCTGTTGATCACCAAATAGGACAGTGACAAAATAAGCTGGGGCATGTTGACAAGAACAATGGCTCCGATCGTCGATTTGAAAGCAAAGGGTAGCTTTCCATAGTCGACCTCCGGAGCGATGAGTGAGAAGGCGTTGACCGTCCCGAAACCCATCTTCCACAGGGAGGTTATGTCCGTTGGAGATCCTCGCTTGTCCAGCTCGTGAACTGCCCGCCAGAGCAGAACGGCACAGCTAGTGATGCTGCCAACCGCGCTGAATACACAATTAGCGATTAAAAGAAAAAAAGGGTTGCTAAAATAAATTCACTCACAACAAAGCGAACAGCAGCAGATACAAACCACCGACTGTCTGAAACCAAAAACGCTTCTTTGGAGCCCACGCACGTGGGGACTGTAATGCGTGGGGCTCAGAGGAAGCTCTTAGATCTTCCTTCTGAACAAAGCACATTCCCAGCGTCCAGGGATCAGGGGATTTCAAAAAGGATGTGATGGCATCGCCCATAGTGACTAACGTCGGTTTGGTATACTTCAACGCCGCAACCCATAAAGATATGAACTTGGCGAAGTTTGCAATGATGACTCCAATCATCACAGCAGAGCTAAAGTAGATCCGACATTGTTCTGGCACAACCTCGCCCAGACAGTAATCCACAGGTGTATTTCCAGCCACTGTCCAGTTTGATGAACCCAGCACAGCGTTGATATCACAATGAGGTGCATCGACATTACCGCAAATCCAGTTGAAAGAATCTTTCATATTCCAGGGGTCCCATTTTGGCGTGACATATTGATAATCCAGGATCATTTTAGAGTCTGCATCAGTCTCCGTTGCGACAAGAATGACATTGCGTCGAGACGTGAGATATTGCTTTCCATATTCACTGACGCACATGTCTCTTTCCAATCTCTGGTAATAAGCATAGCCTTGCTGTATTTTCGCTATGCGGCCCCTCTCGAGTGGTGAAACGGAGCTCTCATTGGCCGTCCAATTCGCATTAGACGCATAATCCGCCGCAACGGTCAAAACTGAGTATTGATGCGCCGACAGAGAAGAGAAGACAGCGGAGTTGAACCTTGCGTGACGAAGTCAGATAATTCAAGCACATGCGATCTGGTCACGTACATCAAATGCAATGGTAAAGATGACACGCAAACGAAAAACCAAAGGCACCGTCGACGCCGATCAATAGACGAAAGGTTTCGTAAACTCGGAACTCCCACATCAAGCCATTTCCCATTCTGATGAGCATTGTCGATATCGTCTCTGGAGGGCGAACTGAGACCCTGCATGCAGCAGTTGCTTGCTGAGAGTAACACAGTGCTCAGGACGTTGATCAGCAAATGCAGCCAGATATTCAACCGTTTGGCATATCCACAGTCGCCAGTGAAAATCGCGACTAGCCCACCATTGAAACCGTATGTTGCGATCACATAGACAGTTCCAGTAAAGTTTGCAACGAGGGTAAGGCTCACAGCTATGCTGCATGCTCTGATGCTGAACTCCCACCCGGAAAATCGACGCTTGGGAGAAGAGCTGGGTATCTCGGTTGTCTGAGCTCGAAATACACCCTTGAGAAAATTGATATCTTGACGCATATTTCCGACTCATAATAGTGGACAAATCATGCCGCAAGAGTCAACCAAACAAGGAACATCGACCACCAGATGGCTCAGCATTAGTGCTCTCTTCTCGAAGCGAGCCTTGTTCGAATTCACCCCCTCTTCAGTAGTTAAGAGTCGAGCGCAGCAGCATTTCGCTTGTTGTCAAGCCGAGAACACTAGTGGCGCACACCAGCACCAGGGCTAACGACGCCCAACCATCTGGGAAATCCAATGATACGAAGGAGCTGCAAAAGGCTTGCTTTGGTGTAAAACTCCTCCGTAGGGTGAGCCTTGTCAGTTAATTAGTTATGCTTAACTAGTCATTCCATTGCACTGGATTTGGGTCCATATATTACTCCTTATCTGCGCATTGAAGTGTAGGACACCATCAGCCCCATCTCTCCATGAAATTCTCCCTAGCACGATCTGACTGATGTAGAATATCGGTGTTCGAATTGTCAATGCCCTTCTGAATAGCCCCAATAAGTGTTTCCAAGTTCGAAATCTTCTGCTCCTGATTCCTGTCCCGCAAGGAGAGCTCGAAATCCGCATCGCAATACATCGCCGACGACAGAAGTTGCGTGGCTTTGTCGGCAGAGTCCAAGTGCGAGGGGAGAGGAGAAGCTGCTGTCGCATAGAGGTTCTCAAGCATATCCGACATGTGCGATCTCTTTTCATTCAGCAGATCATGGACTACCTCGGTCGACTCTGCATTCTGCAGAGAAGAGAACGAGATTCCGAGCCGTCTAAGTAGGCTTTCCAGTGACTGTGTGGATGCCTCCATTTCTGTTCCGGGCTTCTCTCCTTGCGACTCTCGCGGGGTTAGGTGCGCCTGCGATAGTCTCGTGCTGAGTCTTGACAATCGTTTGTTTTCCAGTTTTGCGTTTTGCAGTTGACGGCTATTCACCTCTGTCTGATAGGAAGCAGCAAGTGTATTCATTGAAGATTGATGTGCTTGGCGGTTGTTCAGTTTACCAGTCATCCGGTTTGTAGATTCAGTCAACTGAATCAGCGTCTCCAGTACCTACAAGGTTATCAGTTCCTGTGTTTTAGCCAATTCGGATTTCGCGGAAAACCTCACGTGCTGTAGCTGTTCTTCAGCCCCTAGCTGGGATTGTTCCTGCCACTCCTCAAGAACCTGTAATATCGGCAACTGAAAACGTTGTTTTGCAGCCATATCGGAGAGAACACTGATCTCAGGGTATAAAGAGTTCACTTCCGCTTCAACGCTCTCGAGCTGTTGCAAAACACCAGGGTCGTCATCTTCCGCCTCTTGACTAGCTTCCACTGTTTCGAAGAATACTCGATCTAGGCGACAATTGACTTCTTCAGCAATATATTTTGCCAGTAAAGCAGTAAGATCGCCGACTCGCTTTTTTAACGCACTTATTTCTTCAGCGGACTGGGAACTTGCGGCCACCTTTTCCATATTGCGAAGGACAGCATCGTGCTCCTTCAGTATAACGGACGTAGATGGAAGCAGGTTATTTCGATCAGCTGTCAACACTTTCTGGGCCGCTTGTAGCTTCTCCTCGAAATCTTGTCTCAAATCTTCAATCTAAGCCCACGTTAGGGATCTCTCTATAAAAAGCCAATTACCAAGCAAGGTAAGAAACCCATACCATCAAATCAACACGCTGCTTTTCCGCCAAATGTCCACTTGTCAATCTTGCCGTTGCCTTTGAGCATTGTTGGTCAATTTGACGGGCATCGCGGATTTGGGCCTTGAGTTCCTTGCACTGCAGCCTCAAGGCTTCGGTTTGACTATCAACCGCAGCCGTTGAAGCTTTTAGCGATTCAATTGCCGCCTTGATCTCATGTTCCATGATCGGTCTCGTCATGGACAGATCATTGCCTTGTATAATAGACTTGAATCCCGCAGAATTCTCTATTTTGGGGTACCTATGCGCGATGGTTAGCAGGAATATAGGAACAAGCAAAAAGTATATTGTCAACCCTTACAAAGTCATTTCCTCCTTGGAGAGCAGCGTATCATCATTGAGGTGTTTACGGACCCAAGCCCTAGTCTCAGGGTTCTCCAGCGCGGTGCGAATATCTTCATATTTGAAGGGAATATTGCGCGCTTCAAAAATGGCAACAATTTCTTCCTCCATGTTATCAAGAGCAGCCTACGTAGAAGCCGTGTGTGGTTGCCGGATTGACGCAAAACTAGAGCTGATATTGTTCATTTTCAAGAGGTTGGCCAGGTCAAAGACGAAGTGGTGCATGCCAAGCCTGATGATCCAAAGGCAATGACAGACGTGCATTGGGACCAGCGAGTGAAATTTGGACCTGAAAACCACAGCATTGACAAAGGAGTGTGGAATATAAAGGGCTATCTAAATGTCTCTCGCTCTAAGTTCTATCCAGCAGGACCTAGGGAATTAAATGCATAAAGCAGCAAGAAGATGATGTTTTCTAGTTAGTGCCCAGAGGAATCGTCGTGTGGTAGCTGCAAATTGGTAGCGTCATCATGAGGGTTTGGGTAGTACCAGCTCGTCACCGCAATGATCAAGTATACAAGAACAAGAAGACCTCCTTCGAGATAATTCGACTTGCGGTCGCGGAGGAAATTACCCACGACGATGATCGACAGTACCAGCAACACAATCATGAATATCTCGAAATTGAGGTCCATCTGCTTGCCCAGTCCCCAGCCCACGATTACGACCAGAGGAGCGTTGAAAAGGGCTGTTTGAATCGATGGAGCGAGGCAGTGAGATAAAGCAAGGTTTATTTGGTTATCCCTATGCGTGCAAAGGGGTTAATAAGAAATCCACACCAGAGCAATACGGGTATTGCGGTTTTGCAACTTACCATGCTTCATCGATGGCTGTCAAGTGCTCGGCAGCTTTTTCAACCAACGGAACGAGGATGAGACCTATAAAGTTGTCTGGCACCCCTCGTTCGACGATCGCTGGGATTTTCTGGACAAGGAAAACGGCGTGAAAGCATACGCAAATGAGGGAAATCAGGACAGCGATGACGGCTTCGGTCAGGGTAAGCTTGGCCCGTCGTGATTCCTCAACTCTGTCTTCATCCTGGGCCTCATCGAATTCAAGAACTTCGTCATAGATACCATGATGGCTTCGCAAGTTAAACCAGAGGAATCTGGAGCTGGTCAGCTCCATCAATCGCGTTTATAGCATAAGGAGCAAGCTTACAGAAAAAATGCAACTACCAGGATGATGGAGGTCGCGCGACTAATGGTACGGGTATTGTTGAGTAGAACGGCTGCTGTGAATGCCCCGTCAGAGGAGGTGCTACCAGCCAAAGCAGAATAAAATGCGCTGGGAATCATAAGGCCGAAACCCGCGACCAGCATCAACCCCGATCCAGTTTCACTGACCACTTCGTGGAAAACCTGTTCGTTACGGCGCAGCCCCCCCATGAAGAAGCAGCAGCCTAAGCAAAGAAGAAGGTTCGCTAAAATAGATCCCAGAATGGCAGCTTGTATAACGGGTATGAGGTTGTTGTTGTGGTCATTGGAAATCAAAACCATAAACAGGACGATCTCGACTGTGCCGCTCAAAAGGGTTTCAAGCAACACTCCCAGGACCTTGGGCATCTTCCTCGCCAGTTCTCCGCCCGCAAAACCCAGCAGATTGGCGGAGGGGACCATGGCAATGTAATTTAAGCTAAACACCCACAGATGCAGGTCCGGTCGAGCAAAATGCAGAACGATTGCGGGGGGAACAAACGGCCACAGCACATTAACATATTTTGACAAGGGCGTTGTGCTTCTCCAGCAGATCTTGAGGAAGAACAGAGGGTTGAAACCGGCTCTCCCGCTCTCGCCAGCCGTGTCGACCCGGAAGAATGCGCGACCCTTTCTGTGGTGGAGTGGAAGAATCGACTGCTCCGCTTTGGCCGCGATGTTAGGAGACGAGGGCGCAGTAGTATTGGACTCACGAGGAGGATTCGGATCGGACTGTAGCGCACTCATTTTGCGTTGCCTCTGGGGCAGCAACAGTACCTATCAGGTTGAGCTTGTCTTAAAGTGAGAAAGAAAGAGGGACGAAGATTATGGCTTCAACGATCTATCCTGGGGTGATGGATGCACTTCAACGCATTCCTGCCCGCAGGTATCCTGTCCCCAAACGTAAAATACCAGGTCAATGGCTAAGTGTTAGAAGGAGTGGTAGGTGAAGAAAGAGTAGTTGAAGGGGGAATGTCATGAAGTAGAACTAGCAGGCCAGCAGGGGTGAATATGCTGAAAGCAAAGAGAAAGTTGCACAGCCATTGTCGATGAGTTGTCCACTGTCATGGGGAGCTGATGGATGGTGATTGAATGAACCAGGATTCCCGTTGCATCTCACTGTGATTAAATTGTCTCAAATGAAGATCTGCCGGGGAGTGTCCCAGAATGCTTCAATGGGGTCAGCATGCTCAGCTTGGAAAACAAACTGTGTAACTAAAATACACATTCACCAGACAAAAGGCAGATGAGATTAGATGATAATAACATCTTGGTTGACAGAGCAATGCTTTTCCCACGCCTTGGATATCAATTTGACCCCTGTACGGAGTAATATCTCGAGAGTTCCTGCGGACGGGCCGAGCCTAGAAAGAAGCTCCTTGTTATTAGTAAGGGGTCATGTTGGGGTTTGGCACACGGGCCACAGGTTAGTTAATACCCCCTGCTTAGGTTGACTGAGCAAGCTCTGAATTGCACTCTATCGTCCCAGGTAACTACAAGGGAAGAACCAGATCTACAGGCACTCACAGCAGCTGAGATGATGCCTCACTTGGAGCTCCCGATGGGCTTATTAGGGCCGATGCACAAGACGCTGCACGGAGACAGCAGGATGTGATGAACCACCCCGGTTATCACAGAAGATTTGGTAGGTTATCGCCACGCTTGCCTTTGATTATTTGGAAGCTCAATTGCAGTTAAACTAATACGGCACATTCCACATAACAAGACAGCTAACCTCACGATTCTCAGATGGATGCTCAAGAGGCCCCCGCTATTCCAGGAATTGCCCATCGTATGGCCCCGTGTCGAAATCCGGTCTCTGCCAATTGCGTCGTCACTACTCAAGCCACCGCTCTCTGGGCCGGCGAAGAGGATAGAGAGAGAGGAAGGGAGCGTCAACGGCAGTGCGGCACCTCCACCCGGCCACCGTATGGCATGGCCCCTCAGCAGTTCTTCTCAAAACACTCAGGCTCGGTCCGTTTGACGAGGTTAAAGCGCTGGTTCGTTTTCCCCTCGTAACGTCTTAATTTCAAGACCCGAATCGGTTCCTCCCTGCTTAGAGTCTCAACCGTCCATGCTAGCCTCTCTGACGGATGCGGAGCCGGCGAGTCGGTTGAAACAAGCATGAAGAGCGCATCATTGGCAGTGTTCACTTCGAAGAGTGACACCGAGTTGCTTTCGAGCCTCGCGACCGCGCCGTCCTTGTATTCGGGGAACCAAATCTGAGCAGTGACAAGGCGATCGGGAGGGAATCTTGATTTGGTCTGGTCGCTGAGAACATGCCACGGGTGGAGGCCATCGCTGATGTTGTCAATTCGCCAGTAATTCCTGTCGTTTTCTACGAATTTGACAACGTCTCCCTCGGTGGTGTTCGTGGCCGTGGCATATAGCCCGTTTTTATGGTCCGTGATATAAAAGAATCCATTCAGGACCTCAGCGCTGGCCAGAGTGGTCAGGAGAGCGGCGGCGAATAGGAAACGCATTGTTGAGATATCGGGCCTTTTTCACTCAAGGAACGGCTCTAGAAGACGGTATATGAATCGAAAGAAGAACTGGTCCGGCCGGTGCGCGAGTGGTAGAACAAGAGATGATGTGGATTGCCTTTACTGATATATATGCGGTCTGTAATTCTGGCTCCGCGGATGCAGACGATATGTCTCAGTGGATTGATGCCCGTCCATCATGCATTGAATGCAACCCAAACTGGCTGCGGCTCACCATTGTCCCCTGAAGAACCGTGAAGAGAGACGCCGTCAGCATCATGATTTACCGATACCACCCGAAATGTCACTCTTACTCACGCCCTTTGCTCTGGGCAACATGGCCCTCGTGGTCAGGGTCTTGAACAAAAACACGAGATCAACATTCATCGGATTCCCATTTTTAGATTTGATATCGCCGGTTGAAAATATTCTGTGCTTCATGTCAGCACAACAAAGTGAGGAGTAAAGAGTGAAATCGCGACAGAATGCAACCCAAGCCTGCTGACGGTCATGTTTCTGGAGCAAAGCAAGGATAAGCTGTGCTGACCGGATGCTTATCTGGCGCAAAGATCATCGACATGTCAAAATCATGATCCCAGGAATGTCACTGTGACTAAGCCTTTTGCCTAAGGCAACAGGGGCACACCGGCCAGGTTCATGTCGCCGAATTCCTCGTATCAAGATGCTCACAACTCATGCAGTGCTCTCCTCGGAACCCCCACGAGCTCTTCCAGATGCATACATCCCTGTCCCGATGGCTTAAGTGGATTCGGCCCGCGAACGGCTGCTCTTCCATTGAGCTCAGGCCAAATGCTTAAAAGGTTGAGCGGCTCTTCAATATCTCCTGAACCCGGAGAGAAACAAAATCAACTCCTCCCTTCTTCAATTATTGTGCTTCTCTGCGCTTCATCGGCACAATGCGCGTTACCTTTCCATTTGCCCTTGGCCTCTGGGCCACCTTCCATAACTTTGGTTGCTTCGCCTTCACTGGCAACTACACCTGGAGCACTTTCATCAACGGCGATATTGCTGTCATCAGCACCGAAGGCTCCACTAGCGGCCTCATCGAATTCCAGCCTGACGGAACCCAACTGTGGGAATTTGAACCTTGGGGAAATGAAGAGTTCCACTTTATTCGCGATGTCAAGACCAAGAAATATATCCGTTTTCCGATGATCACGGACGGTGCAACTCCTATCCTGACCGACCGGGGCGCAACGGCGATCCAGGTCTATCATCCCAGCACCGAGACAACGACCATTATGGTTATTCAAGACCCGTTGTCGGAATACCCGAGTGACGTTTTTTATCTTACGGCGGAACGATATGACGGGACCAGCACATCACCTCGAGTGTTGAGGCTGCGGGAGCACACCAGGGAGGAGCATGGTTCGGCTTTCCAGCTTTGTAAGCAGCCTGCAAATCCACGCTGATATTCCAGCGGAGACAAGCGCATATGTTTGGGTTGTTTCTATATCTGATGCAAATTTCGTCGAAGCTTTGCAAGGTGCACAATAAATGCCGGTTTCCATCCCCAGTCTCAAGGATGGGTCATGCAATGGGGCAGAACGAACAGAGGTCACTGGAGCTTTTCTTGTTAGCCATGGTATCCGATTTCATGAAATATATCTGCGCTTACCAACGTTGTTACAATTGCCCAACCTTTCTAGCTGCATATACATCACGAAATGCCCACTCTTGTCAAAGCGATCATTAAATCTGAGTGATACCTACAGCCATTGCCCTGCATGGTTTTAATTGTCAGAACGCCAGGTAGCATACGGTGAGAGTTTTTCGTCAAGCCTTCAGTTTCAACTTTATATGGCATCTGTACAGCTTGTGGCATTTCATCAGACTGCTTGCCTGGGTCTGTGTGTAGAGAATGCCTGGTGGGCATCTTGCGCCAACTGCAACGAGCAGACCAGTTGAGATGCAGTGCAATACTGAGTCGTATCCACGGTGGTGTCACTGTGAAATCAGATCTTGATGCGATTAACACAATGACGGCCGGAAATCAATGGTCTTGAGTTTCTTTGAAAACACAGAGGAGCGATATCGTGGCCTCTAACCGCAAACTATGAGTTCGTCTCAGACAGTCCACACTTATCTTCACTGGCTGGCCCCTGGGCTGCTGGGCCATCCTGACAAGGTAGCCAGGTAGTTACCCTGTCGCAGTTCAAGGGCGAGCACTGGTCGGCCACATGGGGATTGATCCCAGTGGTGCCGACGCCGGATAAGAGGATAAGAGGGCCAGTTTATGGCGCATTCAGTCCCTGAAACCGGTGGAAGCTGGAGATGAACCTGCTATTCACATGGCGCATCTCAATTGAATTTGTCCAATTCACTCGCTCACACAAACACATGAAGGATGGAGTCGACTCGGCTACAAACGGCCCGTTGATGTTCAGGAGAAGCTTTGTTAGTTGCTTGTCAAAGGCAATTCCATCTCGCCCTGTGGACGAAACCCCGCGGTGAACAATCCTTCTCTTTTATAAGACAGGGCGCGCGCAAACCTGCTGGGATATAATTCAACCTCTAGTTATCTTTCGAATTCCATACTACACCCTCATATCTACCCTCTAGGCACTGTGCTTGCTTCAACGACAGACGAAATGGCCGAGCGCGCAGCGAGAGCCCCTCCAGGCGCAATGGACGCCGTTACGCAGCAGATTGGCAACACCCCTCTCGTCCGGTTGAACAAAATCCCAAAGAGCCTTGGAATCGAAGCCACCGTTTACGCGAAACTAGAGTTCTTCAATGCCGGAGGAAGCGTAAAGGACCGAATCGCCCTCCGTATGATCGAACAGGCCGAACGCAGCGGAAGGATAAAGCCCGGAGATACGCTGATTGAACCCACCAGTGGAAATACGTAAGTTGGAAGATTCACGGCATGGAGAATTGTCAAGCATATTCGCTGATATGTGCTTGACTTGATAGCGGGATTGGGTTGGCCCTCGTCGCGGCGGTCAAGGGATACAAGGCCATTATTACCCTACCGGAGAAGATGTCTGCGGAAAAGGTCGCTGTTCTCCGCGCACTGAATGCAACGATTATCCGTACACCTACCGAAGCAGCATACGATTCTCCAGAATCCCATATTGGGGTAGCTAAGAGGTTGGAGAAGGAGTTGCCGAATGCCCATATCTTAGATCAATATGGCAACGCAGATAACCCGCTGGCTCACGAGTACGGCACCGCAGAGGAAATCTGGACCCAAACTGACGGGAAGATTACGGCGATTGTTGCCGGTGCAGGCACTGGAGGGACCATCACCGGTCTCTCTCGTGGTCTGAGGAAGCACAACCCCAAAGTGACGGTCATTGCCGCCGACCCACAGGGCTCAATCCTGGCCGTGCCGGAAGCTCTAAACGAAGAACACAAAAATGAGCCCTACAAAGTTGAAGGAATTGGATATGACTTCATTCCAGACGTCCTTGACCGAGACTCCGTGGACAAGTGGTACAAGACTGCAGACAAGGAATCTTTCCAATACGCCAGACAACTGATTGCTGAGGAGGGTCTCTTGGTGGGTGGAAGCAGTGGAAGTGCCATCGCTGCGCTGGCACAGGCATCGAAAGACTTCAAATTTCAGAAAGATGACGTCGTTGTCGTTGTTCTTCCCGATAGCATTCGAAGTTATTTAACAAAAGTATGGTGTACACCCTTTCCATCCTTCTATGGTGCAAGACTGACATCTCATCCAGTTCGCCGATGACGACTGGCTCGCAGCCAACGACCTTCTCCCAGCCACCCCAGCTACCATCCCCCCGTCTCCCGAAGTCCAACCTAAAGGTTCCCGGGATCAATTCGCCGGCGCCAAAGTGAGAGAGCTCAGACTCAAGCCCGTGACAACAGTATCATCCAACTCCCCCTGCGAACTCGCCATTGAAACCATGCGCGAGAAGGGCTTCGACCAGCTGCCCGTTCTAGCCCCTGCCGGCCGCCGCCTCGTCGGCATAGTCACCCTCGGAAACATTCTCAGCTGGATCGCCCGCGGACGAGCAACAGGCAAATCTCCCGTTTCTGAACTCATGTTCGATTTCTCAAAACTCTCAGAGGTAGTCACAGACCCTCGCGCTTTGAGCGGGCTGGACGTGTCCAACCGACAAGGCAAAGGCCGCAAGTTCGTTGAGATCACGCGTGACACTCCACTCAGCACGCTGAACAGATTCTTTGAATGGAATAGTGCTGCAGTGGTCACTGAGAAAGATGAACAGGGGAATATGAAGCCCGTGGCTGTTGCTACCAAGGTCGATTTGCTCACATGGTTGCTAAATCAGACTAAACTGAATGCTTGAGTCCCATCAGAGTCCGTCGGAAGCACCATGTGATAATAGACTTTGATTGTATGTAGTTCCATTTGTCTGTCCTGTATATATTGTTTAAGCGCAAGCGCTCTAGATGCATGTTGTGGCTCTTTGATGGAGGTTCATATGTTTGGATAAGGATGCCTGACTTTCAACAAGCAAACTCGGGCCTGGGGTGGAAATCTTGTGCATATCTATATCTATCAACAGCATAGGCTGAGACACTTGAGACCTAAGACATCTTTGACAAACTCAGCATGTCTGTTTAGCCCAAATCAGCTGCAATTATTCCTTTTGAGATCTGAATAGGCACTGCCTAAGCCACTGCGACATTCCATGTGCCCTGGAGAAAGAGCTGGTTGGGCCAGAATGGCCGATGAAAGTCGCAAAACCAACCTGTCCTCGTAGTCCAGGGGACCGATCAGAGCGCCCATCACCGATATCCCCTAAGTTGGCGGGTAGGCTCAACTATAGTTGAGAAGCAGGCCGTCCGCACGGCACCCAGGCAGCCAGTGATGCCATCGGATTCATCGAGAATTCCAGTTTTGAAGCTGTACAAGCAAAAAAAGCGAGTCGTGTTATAGAACGAGAAACAATATACTCCTTATTATAGACGAGATCCGATCTACTCTTCCCACTGCCAGACTCCAGCATCGGTTCCATCATTCGATCTGACTGAGCCTCCAACAACGTTTACACTTACACCGACTTCTTCTTCCAGCAGCTTAAATGTGAATTTCTCCTGGCCCTCATCGCTTCCTAGAATTTCTTGTTCATCATCGCCCGCATTGACGTCCGCATCAAGAACGCCTTTTCTCCGCGATTGGCGAATCCTCTCAATCTCCGCCTCCAGCCTTTGTTTCACAGAGTTGGCGGGCAAAGCAGTAAATAGATCTTGCTTGTTCGCGGCGATCATGACTGGAACATCCGGTAGCTTCCTGAACACGCTATTCCGGCTATTTGCAAGTCTTCTTTGTAGGATCAAGAGTACGTCGTGGAGGTATCCCGCCGCATCCCTCAGTTCCGTTTCATCCATGATGGTGCCCGCATCCACCATGAAAATGACACCGCGCGCAGTTCCCTTTGTGGGCTTCGAGTCAGCCATGGATTTTAGCTGTGAAATGCCCTGCGCGTCTCGCAGTTTTCCATGTCCGGGTGTATCGCGAACCCGGTACTTGACTTGAGTTTTCCGGTGATCGGCTAGGGTTGGATCGTTCACCGATCGGTACGCGTTGGAGCCCACCTGAATGGACGAAAGGCAAGGTTGCGGGTACAAAAGGACGAGGCCTGAGACGTGTGTGTTTGTGGATTCGCGTTCGGGGCTCGACTGGATTTGCGCTCAAGCTTGGGGGAAGATAGACGAAAGATTAGCAACACGTTGTAGCTCTCAGCATCCTCTAACTTTCCAGAGTGTCCTCACCAGTGCGCAGAATGCCGTCTTGCCCGAGCCACTGGGCCCAAGTAGCAAAAAGTCATTGTGGCCCTCTGCAGAAGCCGAACGGTAGAGCACAAGGTGAATGAGGATGGGGGAGTGGAGGAAAGCAAAGGCTGTCTCGTTCAAGAGAGTAGTCAGGCAGGTTACTAGAAAGCAGGAAAT